GACGGACCTGTGTCAGTTTCTTCAGCGACAACTACATGCACCAAATCATCTCTTTTTGAGAATTTATTGCTTTGCAGTTATAAATCATAATGGGTAATAAAAAACGCAGGCGAAAAAAGTCGCGTAAAGTGGTAAAAGACACAGAAAGAATGCACTCCAAAGATATGTAAAGAAGTACTAATTTACGTAAACATTTTATTTGTATCGCAATGTAATTTGTTCGCAAAATTAAATTTTATTTTATTTTGCTTCTGATTGGTAAATGCAAAATTTATGATTATTCTAGTATAGTTTATAAATATATTAGTACCGATGATCGCTAGAATTTTGCATAATTAAATTTAATTCATATTTTGTCTTTTCGTTCGGTATCCTGTCTGTCGAATGCTAAGCCACTGTACAAAAATATCAGAACTACAAACTTCTGTAAAAAAACTACGTAATCTGATTACAGACACAAAGTATGTTTAAGTGCATCGTAAATTGCTCAATAATGTCAAAATTTTGACTATGCGGAAATCGATAGTACAATGTATTAGACTTCACAAAACCTCTGAAGGTCCTCGCAATGTAGCAGTATCAAATCTTCATAGGGATATTATCATCTGTGTAGCTCATGCTTTTGGCGACCATAGAATGTGCCAAGAATATTATTGCAATAAAGATAGAAATACAACGAGGAACTTAAAAAGACCCAGAATTCCACTTTCATTGTCTGAATAAACGCGACTGTTTCAAGTTTTGCTGCAAAATCACGCAGCTTAATCGAAGACGTTGACACAAACTTGTTGACTGTTTTAATAGTGTCATCGTTAAATTCATTGGTGGAAAACGAATAATTTCATTAAAAGGAGGTTATCAAAGAAGGTGTTCAGCACCTGTTCTTTCGTTTAACAGCCAATCGGGGCTTTCAGCCGTCCAAACAGCTTTTTTAAACAAAAGTCCTAAAGGCAGGCCCAAAATCATTGAAAGACGGAGAGCTCAGAACGAAACCTAAACTTCGGGCATCCCGTAAAAAAAAGTACGGAAATCAAAAGACGGCAATCAAAAGCAACATGACTTTAGCGAGCACAGCACCAAATATGTCTCCACATGAACTGAAGAAAGCTGAAGTAGAGTTTTTAAATAATTTAAGAATGCTTACTTCTGATAGGCAGGCTATCGAAAGGGCTACAGTTTTGCAACGAGATAGCAGTGAATGGTTGGAAATACGGAAAAACTTAGAATCAAATTTTGGGCAAAATTGTAAAAGAAAAATTAGCACATAGCATACTGCTCTTTTGGTAAAAAACATATTAGGTATACTAAATTATATTTGACATGTGTAACTGCTGTTGCACACGGAATAGAGCACGAAAGGCAAGCACTTCAACAGCTTGAAAAACAAGAAAATATAAGTATTTTGCCTTGCGGTTTGTTTATAGACAGGACTTATCAATTTATTAGAGCCACTCCTGACGGATTAGTAGGCGATGATACGCTCATTGAAATTAAGTGTCCTTTAACTGCTGTGTAAAAGGTCCTACCAGTGCAGTACAGCATAACAAGCTAAAATTTTTGAAAACGACAAAAAGACTTGCACGTCCACAGTAAATAAAAAATCAAATTGTTTTATCAAATACAATGACAAGGAGCGTCACGTTACTGAAAGACGATTTTGTCTGCTCGGCAAGTAGGGTGGAGAAAATGTACCCATGCTTACAGAACGTATCGAAAGGGACGATAATTTCTGGAAGACACAATTGTTCAAGACAAATACCTTTTGAAGAATTTTAAGATGTTTAATGTAGTACATGAATAATAATTTAGACACATTTATTATTATAGTTGTTGTATAAAAAATATAAGAGTTTTGAATTATTTAAATACATTCCATTTAAATACCGAGTAGATTTTTTGTTTTTCGTATTTCTTGTACAAAAAAATTGATAATAAATAATTGTTAACAAAAATATTCCGACTTCAAAAAGTAAACTAAAAAGCAAAAAATAAATTTTCTTTGTGGAAATTAATACATGTTTTCATTTAGTACAATAGAAAATAATATTAATAACCATTTTATAATCTTGAAGTCGGTGCCAAGTAAAACAAAAATAGTGTAAAGATTACCTATAACACACATCAAGAATACCTATACCATTGTTAGTTTGATGAATAGGAGTTACCGATCATTATTTTTTTCTAAAACTGTTGTTGTTTTGGTATGACTTTGATGATTTACTTGGCACCGACTTCAAGATTATAAAATGGTTATTAATATTATTTTCTATTATACTAAATGAAAACATGTATTAATTTCCACAAAGAAAATTTATTTTTTGCTTAAAATTTTTAGTTTACTTTTTGAGTCGGAATATTTTTGTTAAAAATTATTTATTTCACCATTTTAAGTGTTGTAGGCAGAGCCAGCAAGTATAATGGTTTTCGAATGAGAAGACGATTGCTACTTGAGACCAAAACTCACGAAGTAGTCCTGAGTTAGTCAGTGTTTAGTTAGTTTAGCTGTAAATCGTTGAGGGATTTCCTCGACTGTCAATGGTTTCCATCTATAGGTGCGAAGTTTGCATCGTTTTAAATGAATCAAGTCCAAACACGAGGTAGTTACTGTGAACCGTTCCCTGAGCTGCCCTTCGTTCTCATCATTAGACCCCTAATGACAGTCGCGATCAATCTTGGTGCAAAGTGCTCACCAATACGAATCATTCAAGCCCAAACACAAGGTAAGTACTGCAAATAATAAAGCAGATCCCTCGACTGTCTTCCGGCTCCATCATCAGGTCGACTTCGACCATCGGCAAATTGTAGCTTTGTAAAAAGCCTACTAAAAAAACATGCAAAAGCACTAGTCGTCCCTACAATTTTCGAAAGTTCCCCTCAGTTTCCCTAGGATTCCATCATCAGATCCTGACCTCATGAAAATGGGACCCTCTCGGGAGTATAGCCTTTCAAACAAAACAAGAATTTTGGAAATCGGTTCATAAATGGCGGAGTAATCGGTGAACATACAAAAGAAAAAAACAATCAGCCGAACATAGTACCTCCTCCTTTTTTTGAAGTCGGTTATAAAAAGAGTTTTTAATTAATTAAATCTTTTATTATTGAGTTGAAAGGATAACTCGGGTTTGTGCAAGTGGGCGTCAGACAAGTTGACCTACTGCCTGCTTATCTGTGATGTGACACTCCCCGCGACGTTAGCGCACGGGTCGCTTTACGGTAAACGCGGGCAACTCTTGGTAGCGTTAAATACCTATTTCGCTTGACCTACCAGCCCTTAAGTGTCACAATAGCAAATATCTCTGTCTATACTGAATCAAGGTATATTTGCGTACCTGCCTACAAAATAACTTCAGATTGTACACCAGAAATAATATTTGATCCAAGGGATAGCAAGTTTAATTATAAAAATGTACCTCCACTTTTGTTACTTTCAAAAATAAGGGATCTCCCTTAACATACATGGGTGGTGGAACATCATCTATATATATATATTTCCCTATTTGCATTCTACTTACTAGTGGTCCATTGCAAGTCGTTGACTTTAGTTAAATATTGTATTTGACTGAAGTTTGTAAATACAGTAGGTAACAGATGATCAAGGCTATCTGTAATATTCGCAGAATTTTGGACACAATATTTAGTCAAATTAGGAATCTGTAAGTGTTTTTCTTATATGAATCATTCATAGATTTACTATGTAGGAAAAATGACATCGTCTCTCTTTTTTTATGGAATAGGTCGGCACACGAGCAGGCGAATTGCTTGATGGTAAGCAATCAGCGCCGCCCATGGACACCCGCAACGAAGGATTTACAAGTGCGTTGCCGATCTTTTAGGGATTAGGGTTTTGGAGATTTACGGATTGGGAGGGATCGGGGGAGGGGAAGGAGCTCCGGTAACCTCACTCACACGGCGAAACCCAACGCTGCTCAAAAATAACAGTCTCATTGTGGCTTTTAACTAGTAGAGCTTATCCCAGTGAATTCAAACTAGTAAGTTCTTATTTTCAATACATTCAGTATGTCTATTCAAAAAAGAAATAATCGTTAACCAGGTCATAAGTGACAATAAAATCAAATTAGGTCAAGGAGGGAATTACCATAAATACAACCTTGACCGAAGCACTTATATTGCTTAAATGTCATTGTCGTCAAATTGTTTTAAGTAATCCTATTAGGAATCGCGTTGATTCCTGCCACCCAAACAACTATGTAAGTACGGTCTTGCTGTATGTGAGAGTAGCTATTACATATTTAGTTTTACCTAATAGGTTAAAATAAATTATTTGCGCTACGAAATCTATTAAAAAATCTTAATAACGATACTTTTTCTATGTTTTATTTTATTTTATTTCTTCTTAAATATCTCAAAGATGAACAATATTAGTTTTATTTCTTGTCACATACAGAACAGTTTGGAAAAGAAAATTGATGTTGTTATTCATTTTGTTAAAATTCATTAATAATTTCCTAACCTTTTTAAACTTCACTGTGTTTGAAGAGGCCTTTGTTCAGCAGTGGGCACTTATAGGATAATGATGTGACATGTGATTCTTGAGTTATATAATAGGTAAATTATAAAGAGGTAAAATTACTAAGTGTGTATGTAGGAGCGATCTTTGGAACCGCTGGTCGAATAGCCAAAATTCTTTCTGTGATAGATAGCTACAATGTTCCTGAGTCCTATAGGCTATACAACTTCACGCTAGGATCAAATGGAGAAGACCAGAGGGTAAAACCGCGTGAGATTAGCTTGTGAGTTATAAAATTACAACGAAAAGTGGCATTGATTTTTATTATTATAAATATGAGATTAATACTAGGTGACAAAACTACAATATATTTGTTCATGGTAATACTGACTAAGCTTCTATTATTACATTATTAACATAACATCACGCCTGTCATTCACAGGACAAGTAGAGACCTACTTACTAGTAGGTCATTTTACATCTGTAGCTAAATCACATTGTTATTGGAGACTACTGTGATTTATAGTTTTTTTAATATAAAATTTATAATAGGTATGTGCAAATTGGGACTCTTGAACCGAATGGTGTCGAGTTCGTGGTCAATGTATATAGAAACCAACCTAAACAGTAAAACAATAGATATGAATTTTCAATACTACAAAGTTTTTCTTGTTAATATCAGTATACTTTTTTTAACACTATTTAGATTGGTCAGGAACGTTTCTAATTAATTTCTCTCAAATTTTATAAAAGTAAAAATCCATATTTTATAAATTGAATGCAACTTAAAAGCAGAAATCGCTAATTGACTACAACTAAATAAGCGTAAGTACTTCTAACAGTTTAACTAAAGCTTTTAAAAACAATAAAACATTACGACTCCATTTCACTAAGTGATAGGCAGAATAGAAACTCCTTTATGATATTGCTCGTCTTTATAAAATTGCTTAACGATATTGTACCTTATTACAACTGTATTAAAGGTTTCGAGGTGTCCTCTTTCTGTTTGCTTAGTTTCGCCCGCCATTCGCTTCTGTCTGCTAATATTTTACGTCCGTAGGCAGTGTGGATGTCACGGAACGGCACCCTTTTGCGCGGCATGTCCGGTCTTAAGTTTTCTTTATCTGAAAAGAAGGTTCTCGTTATTGTTGTCAAAGTAGCTAAGGAAGGTACTAGTCCTACAGAGTCTGAATTTGTTAGCCGTCGGGTCTTCTAGACAGCAAAAGCTGCTGACTTTAATTGACCTGCTCAAGATATGACCATCGTAGTTTTTGACCAAAAGTAATTGTCAGAAGTGTAGTTTATTTGACGAATCACCATTACTTTCCGTTTAATAATATTTAAAATTCGCAAGGTGCTTTTTATTACTTATTGTGAACCAAATTTGAAGCTTCACGATAAGAAAACTTATGATGTCATGGTTAAAAAAAATATCGATATGTGACAGCAAACGATGCCTTACCCCAGTACGCGCACTTCATGTTGAAATAATTGAGGCAACTCTAATGTCACCAAACAGCTTAAAAGACAAACACTATACAAAAAACGTTTACAAGGAATATAACACTCACGATGTCTACTGCCCTGAACAGCTTTAGGCTCTCCGTCCGGGACTCTGTTGAAGGGGTTGTACCTCTGCCCTCTCGGAGGTACTTTAGGTTCTTCTTCCGGAGGAGTTATTGTCACCAGCGCTGCTTCAGCTGCAGCTTCCGCTGAAAGACACATTTCAATTAAAATCTCTAACTTAAAGTTAGTCCATATCGTTTATTGGAGGATCCGATAGAAGTTATAGATTTAGCTGTGATATATTATGGGTGTCATCGCAGTGATTGCGGCCCCGGCCTGGAGCAAGAGAAAGAACGTTTTCCAGGGCGGGAGAAGATATTTAACGATTTGAAACCCTCAAAAAAAAACTGTCAATGCCCATAAGAATGCTACGAAATTAAATTGAAAAGAGACTGACCTCTGAGTTTGTTTCGGCATTTCTTCTCAGAGTAGTCAGATAGGAAATGCCGGCTTCATCTAGTTTTCACATATAAATTGACGTGTAAAAGTGCCGTTTTATGGCCTATTTGCAAAAATAAATTCATTGTTTCAATTAAGGAAGGAATAAGATCACAATTGATCATATTGACAAATAAAAAATCATTAATAACAACTAAACCTTATAGAGGTACTTTTTTAATTTTGAAACATCAAAATGTAGAATAGTTGTCTGTCAGTTTTCGCAGTGAAGCTTAGTGCTTGCTCCAAATTGAATTAAATGAAAATAAAGACAATAAGCGCATTTTTGTTACAAAAAAATAAAGTTTTTAATAATATAAAAATATTAAATAATAAAAATAATATTGTTACCTTGTGCCTCATCCAACTGTCTCTGCAGATCAGAAACCATGAGCTTCATGTAGTCGTAACTGGCGCAGGCGAGGGCTTTCATCCAAGCCTCCATGGAGGCTTGCGAGTTGGTACACAAGTAGTATGTGCGCCCACCCTCGCACTGGAACGATATCTTAAAACTGTACGCTTCTTCTTCCGTCAACTCTGTAAAATAGAAAAATGTGTTTTTCATCAAATGTAATGTATTTATGGATAGAGTAAAGATGTACATTTTAATATTTAGATTTGAAAATTTTTAGTACATTTGTGCTATTTTAAAGACTATGACTATATTGTAAACACAAAGCACCGCTCCACTATTACATTATAGATATTTTGAAAACAAAATGCCCAACTGTGTTTTGCGTTGTTATTTCGCGGAATTACATTGAGACGATTAAAAATTTCAATTGCATATTTTGTTTAAACGATAAAAATCAAAGACCTTTATACTGAAACCTTTTTCTTATTGAGTTGAGAGAACACTCAACAAGAGTCTGGCTAGTGGAGGTCTCATTTGTTTGTAGTCTGTTACCATGGCAACTAGCCCATGATAAATAAATTGTACTTTGTACTATACAGATTTTAATGAAAATTACCATAATAAAAAGACAGAGTAAAAACAATATAATTAGAAATAAAACTAAAACCACAGATGTTACACTGAAAATCAAAAGACTCAAATGGAGATGGGCAGGCCACATGATAAGAGGTCATGATAAATGGAGTAAAAAAGTAACAGTATGGCAACCAAGGGAAGGGAAAAGGAAGAGAGGGAGACCCCAAAAACGATGAGACGATGACATCAAAGAGGTAGCAGGTGTGACATGGAACAAAGTGGTTCAAGTAAGAACAGAGTGCAAAGGTTGGAGGAGGCCTTTGCTGATTGGCAAACAGATCTGCAAAAGATCACCAAACAACAAATAATAGACTAATTTTTAACTTTTAATTTCTTTTGTGTAATATAATGTAAGTGTAATATAATGTAAGTTAAGGATCTGAATAAAAGGGTATATTATTATATTATTACCATAATAAAAGACAGCATAATACTGTTATAGTAATTTCGTTAAATTAATTAAATAAATTATTTGCACTTTGACAGATTAGAACCCATTTTCATTTTGCATATTGTATACATTTTTTTAATTTTTTAATAAAAATTTCACTTCTATTGAGTTATGCTAATTAATCTTAATGTACAACACACATGAGCATGATAAGCAGTCACAATATTTAAGTTTTATACAAATTAATTATCCAACCTAATATTATAAATGCGAAAGTAACTCTATCTGTCGGTCTGTATTTTCTTCACGCCTTAACTACTCAACCTATTTGTGCAGTGCCGGATTAGCCACGTAGCAAGAGTAGCAAATGCTACGGGCCCCGCGGATTGGAGGGCCCCGCGCTCAAATAGGTATTTCTTAATGGGCATTGAACAATTTTTTCGACCCTCATTTTTTATTTAAGATTTCGATAATATAGAGCATTCTAAGAAACTAATTTGAATAATTATTATTTTTATGGAGTCGTTCTATTTTTATAAATTATTTAAAATTAGGAGTAACTTTCTTACTGTGACGTCATCATTTGGCTGTATAATTCACGTATCTGTGGCCTTTCAATTAAAAAATTTCTATGACGTTAGAGAAATGTCAAAAAAAAAATTTTGTCTGGACTATTTTTTGAGTCATTTTTACATGTCGGAATGAAGCACTTCCTATATTCCATAGTTTTTTGGTGGTAATTTCGCTAGACGCTAAATAGAATAATCGAATGTTTTTAGAGGTTATGTTTATTGTTTATATATCTTGACACTTTTGACAGTTGTAAACTGTCGTGTAAGTGTGTGTGAGCGTGTGTATTATATTTGATGGCAAAGGAATTCTCCCTTTAGAGCCAAACGATGACGTCACTAGAGGTCAAATAAAGGTTATTTACTTTTAGCGATAAATAACAATAATCCGTGAATATTTTACTATTTTAAACGCTAAATTGTCATGAGTGACCCTATTCCTCGAAACGGATTTCATATTTACTCATTAAAAAAAAAATGAACTATCCCCATTACACACTTCAACAGCAAGACCTATGTAAAAAAAGTTTTATTTACAAAACTACTACCAAACTGCAAGTAATTTGATTTTTTTCTTAACGAAATAAACTAAAAAAGACACATAGTCGGTATTTTGTATGTGTAAGAAAAGGTAAGCGACTATTTGTCCGTTCGGTTGGTGCCATTGGCGGGCAAACCGAGCCGACGCAAACTGCGCGCACGGCTATTTCCGCATCACCTCTAGGTATCATATCTATCACGAAAAACGTTGGTATCAAAATGAACAACAATAATTTGAAATTGTACCACATCTTATAAATTGAGCGCTAGCCACACACAAGTTATGTGTTGTACTACTTGCACTGCATTAAACACAAGTTGGCAACACTGCAATTTGGGGAATTCCCTGATATTGTCATCGATCGAGCTAGCCGTAACTCGAACAAATAAACTAGGATTCTATTGACTATCAAACAATAAAAATTTGATATAAACTTTCCTTTGACTCAATATAAAAAACTACTAAGCACTTTAAATGTGAACTATTTGTGAGAAAGGTTGTCTTGACATTGCTTCAAGTACTGTTTTCGTGATTGACGTAGCGCTGTGTGCAATTCATTCAATTATCTTTTTACCGACTTCAAAAAAGGAGTGGTGTACTATGTTCGACTGATTGTTTTTTTTTTGTATATTCACCGATTACTCCGCCATTTATAAACCAATTTCCAAAATTCTTGTTTTGTTTGAAAGGCTACACTCCCGGAGGGTCCTATTTTCATGAAGTCGGGATCTGATGATGGAAACCGTAGGGAAACCGAGGGGAACTTTCGAAAATTGTAGGGGCGAGTAGTGCTACAACTTGCCGATAGTCGAACTTGACCTGATGATGGAGCCGGAAGACAGTTGAAGGATCTCCTTGATTATTTGAAGTAGTTATCTTGTGTTCGGGCTTGAATGATTCTTAGTGCAAAGTGCTCACATTGGTCGTGACTGCCATTAGGAGTCTGATGATGAGAACGAAGGACAGCTTAGGGAACTGCTGAACGGTTCACAGTAACTACCTCGTGTTTGGACTGAATTCATTTATATCGATGAAAACTTCGCACCTGGGTTACAATGAAGTTATGGAGTAAATCTGATGATGGAGCAGGAGGACTGTCGTAAGATCTCTTTGACTATTTGGAGTAATTATGTTGTGCTTGGATTTGATTCATTTATATTGATCAGAACTTTGCACCTATACGGATTACGTAAGTATATTGAAGGTCTGCAGTATAAATGATGATGGAGACCATTGACAGTCGAGGGAATTCCTCAGCGATTTACATTATCGTATTATCGTGATTTTCGGTCTTAAGTAACCGTCGTCTTCTCATTCGAAAACCATTATCCTTGCTTGCTCTGCCAAGTGAATCATCCAAGTCATACCAAACAGCAACAGTATTAGAAAAATATTGGTCGGTGCCTCCTAATCATCAAACTAACAATAGCTATATAGGTAAAGATTACACTATTTTTGTTTTGTTTGGCACTGAATTCAAAATTATAAAATGGTTATTATTATTATTTTCTATTTAACTAAGTGAAAACATGTATTAAATTCTACAAAAAAAACCTATTTTTTGCTTTTTAGCTTCCTTTTTGAAGTCGGAATATTTTTGTTAAAAATTATTTATTTCACAATCGTCTGATCAAGACCTTAATACGGGATACGCCCTTTATGAATCATTATATGGCTATTACGTCCAAGCAATGCGATCCTAATTTTCAGATATTCGAGGCAAGAGCCAAAGATTTGACTGCTTGAAACTGTGAAGAATACCAGCAACAGACATCACGACGAATCGAGCGAAATACAAAGTACGACCATTTCAGCGGGTCTAATACACTCGACGACTTTGTTGAAAATCAAACACATAATTGATAACGTACTGTCTGCTATAACTAAACGTATGAAAGCATATCATAAAATTACTAGTGTTTTTGAAGTATTTCAACTGATAAAATCACTTCACAATTTTGAAAAAATCGTCAAAAATGTTCAGTGCTTACGAAGATGATTTGGAGAACGGCGAATTAGTGCAGTTCGTAGAGTTGCTGAAAACAGATGTGGCTACTGTAATTGACAGCAAGAAACAGGATCCTCTGGAACTGCATTTTTATAAACTTTTATTAAATAATTCTTTAGAATCGTTTTTACTTATGTTATTACTTATCTCTCATGATCACTAACTGCAGTGGCGAACGTTCTTTTCCAATGTTGAAACGAATTAAAAATGAATTAAGGAACACTGTGGGCCAAGAACGTCTTAATCATCTCACGTTGTTGAATATAGAGCATGACTTGCTTAAACAAGTCGATATTGAAAGTGTAATCGCTAAATTTGTAACAGTTTTGTTTTATTTAATACCCTTTTGAGAACCGTTAGCAAACCAAGGGCCCCTTGACAGAATTTGCTACAGGCCCCGCGCTAGCTTAATCCGGCACTGTATTTGTGTGAAATTTGGTACAGACATAGTTTAGAACTCAAGAAAGGACATAGGATAGTTTTTAAACCAAAAATATGCACGACGTCACTATTCCACACAAACAAATTTGCTCATTATGGACTAACATGATAATTTTATTTTATTCATTTATAAAGAAAGACTAACAACTTTTCAAAGAAGCTAAAAGTTACAAACGACACATAATTTAAGTTGTGATCAATTCTGAATTTTAGATTTATTTTCCACTGACTATTTTCTATGTATGCATTAAACACTATAAAGTAGTGTTCCCAGGAAAATACTTTTAAACATATTATTAGAGAGGGTACAAGATACAAGGGGAGTTTCATAAAGTTATTAGATAAGGATATGAATATTGAACAAAGATATGACTACAATAATGTGGGTAATTAAAACAGTTTTTCCTTGAAATCAACTTTAAAATAAAAATCCTACATAGAGTTATAAATAACATTAAAATCACATTGGGAACAATATTTACATACCTTTAAATGGAATGCAAAATGTTCATTATTATGAATATTAAGACCAACTAACTTAAATAAATGAAGTTTTCTTACCAATAGTACACCCTTCCAGAATGATTACACCGACTGGTTCCTTGTCCCCTTTCTTGTCGAAATAAAACAGGAGGTTGCCTTTCAACACGAACCATCGTTTCTGGTAACTTTTGCCGACTTCGCCTCGCATGTCCAGCCACCCGTCGCGGTCCACCGGCGTCGCAGACGACGCGAAAGCGCACAAATTCTTTTCGTTTATTTTCATTGTCATTTATAAATATTCATACGAACTGTCGGACATACAAATGTAGCAAATGTGATCTCTCAGTCACTTTTAGAATCTGAGTTTCCCCTAGGAAAATCAAGAGATACGGGTCATTTACAAAGAATCGTGCCTTATTTGCAAGAAATGTTTTATTTACACAGAAATCGCGAAAGGAAAATATACACCCATTCCATTCCAAAATTACGATCTTCAAAATATCAATGACAATGTCATGCTAATTTATCAATGTCATTAACAGTATTGTCAGTCTGACAGCCTGACAGCGAATTCTGCGTTTAGTTACACCCAGAACAAGAATCGATTGCTTTTTTATGTACCTTTTTAAATAGCCAAGCCTTTTTTTGTGAGGGGAAAATCATCAAATGACTTCTCCCGCCCAGGGACTGTCAGACTCTTATTGACTAAAAACCCCCCTGTTCCTTCTCCTGCTCTGAGCCGAGGTCGCGGTGCCTATTTGCGCTTACCCCGCAACCCCGGCTGAACATCAGCTTTATAGGGCCCCGTCTGTGGTGGTCTATTGACTCTTTGAGGCGCGCGCGGAACGCTACGCGCCGTACGCTCGGGTCTGGTTCTGGTCGGGCGGCCAGTTGCCCTATTAGGTTTGCACTATTAGGTTCTTAAAACGGCCGGTCTCCCTGCTGCCCTGCTCTACACTACTCGCGAAGTTGCCTTGTCGAACTTCTTAATCATCGAAGTTGATCGAAGTCCGAAGTGTTTGACTACACACTCGTGCAACCTAGCTCGGGACACTTCGAGTCCTTTGACCCAGGCGCAAAACGCGCGACGACTGGAAATTGCCCGAAGTGACGCAAGATTGCACTAAGCGAACCGAAGTTCCCTATATACACTAACGTTCGTTTAACATCGTCCAATTTCCTGCAGTCCCAAGCCGTTATTTCATTCGCTTTATTAAATTTTAAGTGTCTAAAATTTGATGCGCCCACGTTTAGTGAATCGGTCTCAATATCTCATCCTGATTAGGTAGTAATCAACACTAACGATATCAAAGTATTTTCAAAAAATAATATACAAGCTCATAGCTCCTGAGTTTATGTTGTGTGATTTGATTACTGAGTTCCCATGTCTGCCTTCTAACTCCATCATCAGACCCTCGTTCATGGTTACCATACGGGCCCATACCTGATAAGAATATGTCGTCTAATTACTTTGTTTCCAAGGCGACCTTTCCGTTCCATCACCAGGGTGTGATTTTGTAGGTTTGTTGCGAAAATACCTTTAAATATATTTTTCGTATTTACTTTCAACTAAATCATTAAATTGCCGATGACTGAGAGTCGATTACGGATACTCTCGAAGGCTGGTGTATTTTATAATTATGATAATTTTCATTTTAAGTGTAGAGAAAGTACTTGTACCCAAATAGAAATAAATGCATATTCTCGTTATAATATCGATTATTTGCGCTATTACATATTTATAGGGTAATAAACTTTTTTAATATTTTATATATTTAACGTTATACAAGGTGTATATTATATTTTTCATATCAAGTATGTATCCCTGCCCCGCATATCTCCATGGTATGTTTTTTTTTTCTTTGTTGATATCGAGGCACGTGTCTATAAGACGTCGATACCACAGTATAAATATCATACAGTATTGTAACTCGGCCGCTTGAAAGAAATAAATACCTACAGCCGCGCGGTACGTAAACATGCGTTAGGGCTGCTCGTCTCCAGTGTTTTAATTACCTTTGTCTACTTTCTGTTTCCATTTAGTTTTGTGATTGTAAATATCCTTTTTTTTATATAAACAAATAAAGTGCTTTAAAAATAAACATACAAAATCTCTTTGGCCACTAATGCCGAACTGAACAGCTGACTACGAATGTTCTAAAATCACAACCCTCAAACATCAAAATATTACATGAGTCTAGCTGTTTTATTGTTGTTATTAAATATTTTCTAGTATTATTCATAAACGCAGATAATAAACAAATATTATTAATAATAAAATACCACACTCTCTACTTTGAATTATACAAACTAACAAAACATACATGAACCGTTTTAACACAAGCTTAAGTAGGTAGGTACCTAACGTATCATGATTCATTCAGAACCAGAACCGCCTATAACTACCTATTTCACTCGTCTCAATAACTTTATTCATATTATTTATAAATTCAAACATCTGTTTTCGTGAGATAACTGTGTGCCTAGCACGAACATTATCGAGAAAGTATTCGTATCGAGATCGAAAGCATTTTCTATGGGATTTGTACAGCGCCCCTACCGTGCGTAAAAGGAACTAAAAATCGCAAGCACGAATGATTTTGACAACTATCGTATAGTAATCGTATCGTGTTGCTATCGAAACTTAGAACATTTTGACACAAATTGGAAGCACGAACGATCTTTTGACGTATAGTAACGTAAGTTTCGAAGGCTGGCTATCGAAAACTGTCGAAACATTTGTCACTAAGAATTTGACGGTGAGAAAGGTTTCGAAATATTTCAATCGTGTTTTAAATAATATATTATAAGGTTTGTGAGTATTCTTTACGAGTATAACATCATGCAAAGACCGCCGCTGTACGAACCAAGTTGGAGAAATAGTTTATTTGTGGCTATTTTACTTGGAGATGAAGAGTCAAGAGAAACTTCGTAAGTACCTAAGTACCTACCTATTCAAGTTATGTTTCACTTAATATAGACATATGTATTCAAGAAAATAATACGAATTAACTGATTATTCTAGAGAAATCGTGTGCCGAGCTAAATTCAGAAAGATATCTAATCCAATGGATATCACTGAAACGTAGTTTAGATACTAGGTACCGCCTAAATAAAAAAGCTTTCAAGTACTTCTGTGAGCAACTCCAATAAAAACTAACCTTATCATGCTAAAATGAAATTAATAGGAGTCGAGCAGCGGGTGAAACCGCGAGGAAGTAGCTAGTATAAATTAGGTTTTCTAATAAGTATTTTTTTACAGGTGATTCTGGCTACCCACAGCGACCATGGCTAATGACGCCTACTCATTTTGGATGCGGTAGAGGGAACTCGTGGCCCGCACGATATACTGCAGTAAAAGAAAGAAGAGGCGATGCTTGTGCAAAGACCTCACTCTGCATTTTGCTCCCGAAAAATGTGTTTGACAACGGCTTGCTGCGTGTTGCATAATTTGGTCATAAATTTCAATGTGCCTGAGCAACAGGTAGATACAATAACAGCTGCAACAACAGCATCAAGATTTGTCTCATACCTCATCTTCTGTTATGAGACATGAAAATGATAGAAGTGATGATTTGATAAGTGAAAGGGCTTTAAGGAATATTCTGGTACAGCAAATAAATATACTACACAGATGACCCAAGTGTTTTATTATTATACATTTCCAAAACATCTTACACACTTATCTAACTTAAAAACTATTCTTACCTATGTTTTTATAATAGGTAACTATAGTGAGACATTTTAAATTCAATTCTAATATAATCTTTCCTCATTCCAAAATGTAGTAATTTAAAATAAAACATGTAAATATACATTAATCATCTTTTTAACTAGATTAAATTTTAATACATTTATTGCCTCTCTCATAAGTTCCAGCCACTGAGCCGGTTAGACTTTCCTTTATGGACCGTCGATTTTGGGGTCAAAATGGGGGGAGGGGGAGGGTGAGGACTACCCCCAGGCCCATCCCCACCCCGCGGAGCCCTATGGTTACGGAGATATCCATGGTCAAAGTTTGTTAAAATTTTGAGGTTAGGAAAGATTTTTCGGATAGTTTGTATGTATGTATGTATAACTTTAGAATCGTACCGCAGTGGGGAGGATGCCCCCTTCCCCCAGTACCACTCCCATGACAAGGCAACTCACAGTTGCCGAGAAATACGATTTTTTATAACCTTACCTCAAAACACTAAAAGTCACTTAATAGGCAAAGTCGACGCGGGCTCCTACTTCTGGGTGGTTTGCAACATGCAGCAGGCATGGCTTCTGTCACGGCTCCGGCGCTGCGGGGCTCCGGCGGTCCCACGCGAGCTAATCGTCGCAGATAGTTTTACGCCCATCACCGCGGCTTCGGCTTGCTGGCCGGCTTCGCCGGCCAGCCTCAGCCACGGCGATGTGCGTTATAACCACCTGCTCCTCAGCTCGCGGGCCGCCCCGCCCCTCCGCGCCTACGCGAATTTAAAAAACACTCTCGGGGTAGGGCAGAAAAGAGACCACGTAAAGTCGGTTTCGCAGCAATTCATTTCTGTCACTAACTTTTGTAGCACATTAAAAATATTATGCCAAAAGACAATGTATTAATTATTTCAATATAACCTATATTCAATAGGAATACTCCAAAAAAAAAAAAAAGAAGTCAACAACACGCGAAACGTCAAATTTGGCGTGAATTTTTCAATAGACTTTACAATTTTTAAATAATTATATCTCGTAAACCGTGAGTTTCCGCAACATAAAAATTTGTAAAAAGCCTTCTGTTAATGTGTACTATCTACAAAAAAAAAATGAACCCTCAACTCGACGGTCCATAAAGGAAAGTCTAGCCACTGAGCCTGTAAAAGGAGCTCTGCATCTCTCTGTCTTACTCTTCATTCTTCTCGTCGTAATTCCAAACGCTCTTGTTCCATTATATCATATGTTTCCTCACGCTCCCTAGCAAACTCCCTAGGTTTCTTATCATTCTCTAAACACATTTGATTAAACTCCCTTTAGATTTTTTTTTCGGTCGAGGCTTCCAGCATTCCTTTTCTAATGGAGGATTGGCGACTGGTGGTGTCGGTGAACGGCTGGCTTCATGGGTACTGCGGAGTGGTCGGAACACTGAAGGCTCGCTGCTTGTCACTGGCATATTCCATGAAATCCACCATTAATTCGTATTGGAGCCGAGTCCTCCTCATTTTAAAATAAATTTAAACTAACCGCATATTAAGATAGCCGCATAATTATCTACAATCTACATTCTTTGTTTTGTTTGTTAAAAATACGTCAATAGCCGTCAAACGTCACCTTTGTCAAAGGAACGTTCGGAAATCGTAAATTATGTTACAAAATTTAAATAACCAAATAATAATTTTTTTCATAGATAAAGTCATTTTATATACTTCTTGACTCGTTTTAAGAATTATTTCACGTAATTAATATTTTTTCATTTAAATATAATACCACAAAAGGTGTAGACGACGGTTGAAATATGTTTAAAATTAATTTTAGTTTTTAGACGAAATCTTTATGTTAAATTAAGTTCAAGAATTCATTCAATTCGTTCACTTGGGTGCTTCTCTAGCTTACATTAGCATGACGTCACTAACGAATTCGATTCGAGCTCTCGCTAGACGATACGATAGGCTTCGTGCTGCGACATTCCGTTTTCGTCACATGAAGTATCGACGTCTCGATACGTTAACGTTACGATTACGATAGTCATTCGTGCTAGGCACTCTGACCTGCAATAACTTTGAAAAGGCGTGGTCTTCGACAGAATTATTATAAATATAGAGGATAAAACGGAACTAAACAAAATATGCAAGCATGAAAATGGAATATAAACTCCAAAATGAAAATTGTTAAAGATAGATAGGTTGAAGAGGCGTTGGGCCCGTGGTTGGGCCTATTAAATTTACATATTGTATTAATATTTTTAATGAAAATTAATTAAGACCACTTTGTAATGGGCATTGACCCAATGAGTCGAAAAAGACACAATATTCATCAAGTTTACTATGTATTATAATAAAACCATAAAATGAAACAACTCTATTTAAATATGTAATATTTTATTCATAATTATTATTACCTATTTTCACAGTTATTTATAAAGTTATATTAATATCAAGTATTACACTAATTTTGTTTTACGAATTTCTAATGATTGCTCCATTTAGAAAATTTGATTTCCACATCAATCATCAGATTTGACCGCTTACAACTAATATATGACAAAATGGTGAGGTCTATGTACAGTACGATCCCAATTCCCTAAAAAAATTGACAAATTCACAATAACAAAAAAGTCAAAAAACGAAATCCTTAAAATAATCCATTCAACTACGAATCTCGCTTAACAACTGTACAAAATATTACGAGTGGTTTCTTTAAAACGTGCTCCATTATACGGCAATGTGGGCAAATAATCAACGGTATTCGATACTACATCGAGTATATGTACAAAATGTCGTTTTACAAAACAAAATAATAAACTATATACAACATCATTAAATATTCTCAAATGCTGTAACACATTTAAAACATTTCATATTCAACTAGGCATAATTCAGTTAAGTGGCGGGCAGGCCGCGTCTACAATTAAATAAGTTATGCAAACCGCCGCGGCGTTGCGCACGCGCATTACATACAAAAACCTGTACAAATTGCCTACCATCACTTGACAATACAAAAAATAATTAGGTACTAAGCAACAAAAAAATAATTTACAATCTGATTTCTGATAATTTGTTCAATACGAAAAATTGATTAAGGATTTTAGATTTTTCCGAACTCAGTCCACAGAAATAAGATTAAAAATGGAATAATATATCAATAAAAAATGAGTAATACACGATCCAAACCACGCATCGGACATATTTACATATTTGTTTCACAGCACACCTCCCTACTCTTACGCTTTAATAATATATTAAAATAGAAAATTTCATTATAACTACGAACTGTCGGAGATTCGACGTATCAACACGCTCTTCTGTTGTTTCAAATGGCTCCATTTTATGTTTTTGTTATAAAACGACAATGTCTAATTATACAAATGCTACTTCGAACATCATCTAGGGGGCTCTTTTTTATCACTATTTTATTTTATCTAATCGTAAACTATTGGTGTTACTAATTAGTGTAATTGTGTAACACTTCCACAATACTAATTGTTACAATTGTGATTGTAATGTAGGTTACAGAAGAATCACAACAAAACAATGGCTATTATGAGAGCATTGTACATTTACAGCATGTATATCAGGATTTAATTATCATAAGAAATATTTACTTGTAAATCTGTTTGTTATAGAATTGTTACCAACAGCACACCATATCGGCTATTAACATTAAGGAATTATATAATTTGAACATTGATTTCCACTGGAATCCCGTGTGCAATGCGGTACTCGTGTGAAGCAATATTGAGTGTTTGTTCCCTCGTACATAATTGTACAGAATTACATAATTCAAGTTTCACATCTGTGGTCAATTTTACTAAGTCCCTAGATTGTAGACAATACATGATTTGCAAAGCAAAGTCGCGTAGAATAATAGAAACGACAAAATAATGTTACATTACAATTTTTCGAAAAAGCCTAGAAAAATAATGCATGAACGAACGAGTCGACAAGTGTCGTTATATAATAGGTGAGATGTTTTGGTGGACGATTTAATTAGAAATGTCAGTAAAAAAATATCTAAAATACTATACATATCTAACTCCTTTGGTAATTCATACCGGTTTATTAAAATAACGAAAATTACAAAAATATATTACATTAATATGTACACTGCACCACATAGGTAGCAGTTGTAAATATTGTGACGTCATTTCATGAAACAAATATTACAGGGTGTCCCAGATAGAACATTTGCAATTGTGTGATGTTTTTATATTTAACGTGAATGCTATTGGAATTGCCATGTTCAACATGATAAATAAAATAATTTGAATACTGTGTATACACATCTTCGTCAAGTCACATATCTTGGACATTGGCCTTTGTAAAATAATCAGTATCAATCCAGTAGCTATTGAGATCAAAATAAAACTTGGTGTGAAATATTAGTATGAGTATAGGGGATCTAAAATTTAAGCTCAAACCCATCTACATTGCATATAATGTAAAATTGTATGAATTAAACTTTTCCTTTACTAACATTAAGTTGCATAATTAAGTATTTTGCTAATAATTTTAATACTAGCTACAATTAAAATCGACGGAAGTTTTGTCAAGGTGTGAAAATATTTGAGGTAAAAGAGAGAAAAGGGATATTGTGAGCAATTAACTATCTAATTACATCATTCCCACATAAAAACCTTATTCATTTGCAATTGGCCATTTTGGCGAATTTTAATATTTTTTTACATCTATATTATTATTTTCATGATGCTATTTAACTGTGGCTGTGTAATTAAAACGTATGCTACATAAAATGAGGTTCACTTTCTATTCTGGAATGAGAGATCAGGAAGTACTTTTAAACCGAAAGACTCTTTTGGAAGTATTTTCTGTTTATGTGGAAACTGTATATAAAATACTAAATCAATGTTGCACATAATGCACAATTAATATGTGATATTAACTATTAAAAGTATTATAAACTGATTGACAATAAGTAATGTAAAATGTATAATTACACAAACTGCATAATTGGAAGTTGACACTGGTTTTTTTTTTATTTTTAACTATTCGCTTTTTTTGGTGATAGTTTTTAAATTAAATTAGATTACAATAAAATGCCTTTTGACGTTAATGAATGATACATAAATGTATACAATATATAAAACTGTTTATATGCCAAATTGGACCATATTTTCTGATCGAACTTATAAATTCTAATCCCCGGCTTAACTAGCTTGCATTAAAAATTTTCCTAGTAATAAATTTATAACATTTTTGATATTTCATTTTAGAACTCTGTTCATGGTGCTTATTCACTTTGTTTAGAAAGGAACACAATACATTATAACCATCTTATTTTAGTAACTTGTTCTAGCAATAAATTGCAAGTTTATTGAAATAAAATGTAAGATTTTGTCCTGGCTCATGGTTGCTTCAGGCAAGTGTAAAGAGATTTTGGAATAATGTTAATAAATAAGAAGTATGATAGAAAAGTGTGCAATTATTGCTAAAACATGCTACCTCTGTATGTAATGTTACTGAACACAGTGAATACCCCATGTTAACATGGTCCCCTACGTGATGTAGGCGACACACCAACACTTGACAACAATAACATACCATACGAGGCCCTTGACTTACACTCCCTACTAGTTAATTTATCTAAGTACTGTCGTCAACTACAAGTCTACATATACGCTGCCTTTTAGTCATTTACCTTACTTAACATGTAGGGACAGATGGGCAGTTTAAAAATTCATACTCATATTAAGATATTGATTAATATACTGTCTTTGTATGTTTAATACAGACATGTATGACAACTTGCTATTGCAATTTTTGAAAACCATTCAAATTTAGTTGTTTGCTTATTATATAAGGTGTATGTCAAGTTTATTTGCTCTTAGTTACGTTTTTATGGTAAATATTACCCATTTGCCCACTACAAATACAATTCCAATACCAACTCCAAAAGTTACTCTAATAACTAGTATTTAGCCAGGCATGATATCATATCACATTGGTATGAAACATGTAGTGCCTTTTTAACATGTGCAATCTATAAGTGGTTCAACAGAATCATTTTAAGGCTTCCTGCACAATACTATATTATTTTAAGTAATTCCAGTTTTCATTCAGATCCGTTGCTTCACCATGAATCACTACACTCGTCACTGATGATATTGAGGTTCACGACAAGCACGACACAACAACCCCGCAGTGGGCGCGGGTTCGCCTAGCCCAGCGCGGCCGCGGTGTGGTAGAGCTGCATGAGGACCTGCACGTGCAGCGGCAGGCACGACACGCGGTCGTGCGTGCTGCCGTCCAGGGCCAGCCACGACAGCGCGTTGTAGCCCTCCAGCACGTACCTGTAACAGTCGGCGGTACAGTACGAGCGGCCATAGGGAGGCGAGGGGCAGGACAGGGCGAGCGGGGGCGGGCGTACCTGAGCACGTCGGTGGTGGTCTGCGAGTCGAGCGGGTGCGTGTTGTGGTCGCGGCGCTGCGTGAGCGACGTGTAGTCGTCGGCGGCCTGCAGCGAGCCGGCGTGCAGGTGCAGCGCCGTCTTCAGGAAGGCGGGGCAGGCGTCGCGCAGATGCGCGCAGCCCGCCCACCACCACGCCGGCATGGCGCCCAGCGGCGCCGTCGACACCATGTAGCCCAGCGCCAGGGGCTGCTGCAGCAGCGCACCCACCGCCTCCTGCAAACACGCGCCACTCAGTTACTACCTCACTCCATACTCCACGCGCTACACTTCACAGGTACAATTGCCGGCATCTTACAGTGGTGTTATCGTCCTGGTGGTGGAAGGCAGCCTGGTGATGGTGATGGGCCTGCGGGCTGCCGGCCGGGTCGTCGTCCGTGCGACGCGGGCTGCCGGCGGCCCACATGTTGTTGAACATGTCGCCGATCAACAAGTCCGTCATGTTGTCTTCCCCCATATCCTCATCACCCATGTCCACGTTTAAGAACATCATATCGCTGTCCTCGCCGTTCGCCATGGGTGGCTCGAAAGGCATCTGATTTGACTGAATGGAAACAAGATAAAAATAATTAGGATAAACAGTCATTTCTGGTACTGTAACAAAATAAAAAGTGGTTGGGTTTATATCTCTTGTTAACCACGAGCGACAAAAGTATGAACCTGCGTGGTAGCGGAGGTGGGGAAGACGAGTATGTGCGTGGCGGTGACGTCGCGCGGGGTGTGCAGGTGCGACTGTATGGAGGCCTGCGAGAAGCGCTCGTCGGGCGTGAAGCGGTCGGCCATGAGGCGCAGGCAGGAGTCGGGCTCGGTGGACACGAGGCAGGCCGACAGGATGCAGGGCACGCCGCCCGGGTACAGCACGGTGCAGCTGCCGCAGATCTCGCGCAGCGTCGCCGACGCACGCACCAGGTGCTTGCGGGACAACAGCCAGCTCCAGCCTGCAACATGCAATGGACATGCTAAACTTGTAACAACTAATTGCCACGGTAATTTAAGGCCGAGAGTATTTACACTAAAAGTGTATCTTTAATGATAATGATTATATAGGACACCGACTAAGCGAATAATTTGGATAATTAATATGTTATGGATCTAACCTTTCAGTTCCCCATGTCCGATGCGTCCGACTCGGCCGACGACTAGCCGCCAGGGTTGCGCGGCCTGGCTCATGACTCCGAGAGTAAAGTCCATAAGTTTGGTTAGCCCCAACCGCCGCGCCGGACCACTCCGCCGTCGCCGTGACCTGGACGAGTTTGAACTGATGCCATTAATTAGAGATAAGTGTATCGCACTGATATTGTAATTCGGAGATATACATATAGGAATGAAAATATTGATATTAATTGATAGGAAATGTTCCAATAATGAGGATAGTGTAAGTATAAGTTAGTGGGTAGGTGCGAGTACCTGTGCGGCACGTGTATGTTGATGGCGGCGGTGTCGAGTAGCTCGCCGCGCGCGTCGGTGGCGGCGGCGAGCAGCCAGCGCTGGTCGTGGCTGAGGCAGTAGGCCAGGAACAGCACGCCGCCCTGCTCGCCGCCGCCCTGCCCCCACGTCTCCGCCACCTCCTTCAGCGCGCGCGGCGCCGCCAGCACCCACGCCGGGGAGAATAACTTGTATGGCTCGCGGTTCTTTTCCTGTGTCGGTCATATATTTTTATTAGATAGATGTTCATGCGCGTGGATTCTTTTCAGTGTGGACACAACAAAAAGTGTACTCACGTCTTTGCCCTGTATGAAGAGGTTTGCGTCGGCGGCGGTGCCGAAGCCGGTGAGGGACTTGCCGTTGGCGTGATGCTGCAGCAGGCGGCGAGCCCCGCTGAACACGCTGAAGGCCAGCGCACGCACGTCGGCCGCGCCCCCCGCGCCCCCGCCTGCGCCCGCCGCAGCGCTGCCCGAGCTACCGCTCTCCGACGTGCAACCCAGGCCCCACCGCGCGCACACGCTCTCCAGGGAGATGATCTGGATATAAGTCCGATGTTAACATAAATTGGTTACATAACAAAACTAGAGTACTGCAAATACAAGATACATTGTACCATTGTGAGTAACGGGTAAGTGTCGGGGCATACCTTGACGAGCGGGTTGTGGTGGTGCAGATGGTCCATGACGCGCGCGGCGAGGCGCAGCAGCGCGTGCAGCGCCCGCGGGCGGTGGGCGCGCGCGGCGGGCGGCTCCACGACGTAGAGCACGAGCGCCGGCGCGCCCGCCTCGTCGTCGTCCCAGGCGCCCGCGCTGCTGCCCGCCGCGCTGGCCGCCGCGCCCGCCGCCGGCTCCGCGTCTGCTTCGGCCGCGCCGCCCGCACCGCTCGCGCCGCCGGGCGTGCCGGGGTGCTCCGGCGTGGACGGCGGCCGCATGGCCTCCGTGCGCTCGGCGCGCTCCGCGGGCTCCAGCAGCGCTTTGTCCAGCGACAGCGCCGCCAGCTGCGGCAGCAGGGAGCCGCGCAGTGTGTCGCCGTAGGCGCGCAGCTGCGACGCCAGGCGGCCGGGAGGTAGAGGGCCCGTCCACTCGTCGCGCTCGGCCCGCGAGCTGGGCCCGCACCGCACCAGGCCGTCGCGTGCCAGCCGCGAGATCGGCTGATGTCGGCCCAGACGACAAGCTTCGTAGGCAGCAGATAACTCGCGAAAGAAAGCTCGAAGCGGTTCTGTGAGAGCATCGCAGTCGGCGGCCAACACGACGTAGGCCACGTCCCTCGCATAGGAGTAGGGCTCCAGCGCCAGGCGCTCCCAGTGCCGCAGCGCGTAGGGTGAGAGCGAGATCCAGTCGCGGTCGTGACCCACGAGTAGCGGCGGCACGGGCTGGGGCTCGCAGAGGTCCTCGTTGCCGCGCCCCGCCAGCCGATGGAACTGGCGCCACGTCAGGGGGCCCGTCACTCCGTCCCACATGCGCGCACCACAACAACGCTTCTGGATGGCGTCTTGTAATAGAGGTCTTAATCGCCGCATTAATCTGAGGACGAGTTGGCCAATGTTGTAGATATTTGTTTAAAAGTAACCTTCATGTAATTACTGAATTTGCTGAAGATAATGCGGCGTTGCAGATAATAATGTAGTAAGCAAGAGTAAATACGAACCTGACAACGTCGCGGGAGGAGCGCGGTGCGCGTGCGCCGATGAAGGGCCAGCGATGCACGGCGCCGGCGGCGGCGGGCGGCGCGCTCAGCGGGCCCAGCGCGCCGCCGCCCCCGCTCACCGACGCACGCAGCGCGCGCGCCGCCGCCGTGCCGCCGTCCGTGTACCTGGTGACACACATACGTTATCGGGAATATTTCATTGAGAGCAACTTTTACTGCTCAATAAATGATACAAGTATAGATAATAAGCTCATATTTGTGCCTATCTAGAATCATCTAAATGTTCAACGACTACAAATAGACAACAAACCTTTAACTAAATATTGAGCAGCAATCGTCTTGCCTTTTATTTATAAGGGATCAAGTCTACATGTATTTGAGGAGGGTATAGTCAGTACGTACTCTAGCAGGTTGAGCCGCAGCTCGTCAGCGGGCGGATGGCTGGCGGCGAGGGAGGCGGCGCGCGCCAAGGCGGAGGCCGGCCCGCCCGCCGGCGCCGCGCTCTGCGCCAGCACCACGCGCGCCACCTCGCCCAGCCCCGCGCCGCAACCGGACTGTCCTGGCTCTTCGGCCAGACCCGTGATCTCCATTTCGTCCTAACAAATTCATAAATAATGTTCATTACATATTCATTATACTTTACTCAAAATAACGTTCACTTTCGTTCAGTATAAATACATTTAAAATAAAAATAGCATTGTTGTAAGTGGTTACCTCGTAGAAGAGTCCGGCACGATGCGCACGGCGTCGGTTGAGTATGGCGCTGAACCCGCAGGTGCAGTGTGAGGGCTCCTCGTCCGCCGACGCGGGGGACGCGCCCCCTGCGCCCCCGCCCCCGCCCATACCCGTGCAGCCAGACAGATACGTCGCTGCATCTGCTCCGCGGATGTTGCCCACAACCTACATCAAAACATTTCATTTATAAGGACGTGAACATCGTAAAAGTGACGCATACTTGTAAGTTTCTCATGAAATATTGTGTGTATCATGTAAAAGATTGGTATAGCGTACCTTGGGTCCAGCATTGCAAACGCAGAGCGTGCAGCTGTCGAAGTTGTGGTCCCGGAAGACGTTGAGCACGGTGTCTGCCAGCAACACGTTGAGCATGAGCGGGCAGGCCGCGTGCGGCGCCGCCGGGGGCGCGTCGGGGGCGCGCCGGCTCGACCGGGCCACCGGCACGCAGGACGTCGACGTCGTCGTGCTGCCGCGCGCCCCCGGCCCGGAGCCGGGCTGCGCGGTGTCACAAGGCCGTCGCGGCCGCGCATCTCTGCTTTCCGGCGTAGGCGGCGCCGAGCGCTTGACGCCAGTTTGCGGGCGCGCGGCGTCAGCGTCGTCGTCCCCCCTGGGCTTGGGCTGGTCGTGTTCGTGGTCGTGGTCCTGGTAGCGCGGCCGGTACACGGCGTGCGCGGGCAGCGTGACGGGCGGCAGCAGCTGGCTGGGCAGCGTCGTGAGCGGCGCGTACTTGGAGGAGCCCACGTACTTGTACAGCGTGGGCGGCTTGAACACGTAGGACCAGTCCTCGATGGCCTGGTCGGGCGGCGGGGAGCCGGCGCGCAGCGGCGTGGCGTCGTCGGGCAGCGAGAAGCCGGGCGAGGCCTGGGCGTGCGCCTCCATGCTGGGCGGCGTGGGGAACATCTTGCTGAGCTCCTCAGCGCGCGGACAGCCCCGCCCGCAGCGCGACTCCTCGCCGCACTTGCCCGCGTCGGGCGGCGTCGCTACCTGCAACTGAGCGCGAAGGTTATACACTCCACCCATTAGCCACTCAAACAACTTTACTAATGTCCTCTACTCGATAGTCCAATTCTTAATGAATCACTTTTAATGACATGCAATTTTTATTTCATAGTTTTATACACAACGTAATGTTCAATAAAACTTCACTTTGCAATAACATAACATACAGCTACAAACTAGTATAATATAAAAAAGGGTGTACACTCACAAGTCTTACCGTCTCATCGCCGCTGGCCGCGTCGTCTGAGTTGTCGAAAATTTGCTCTAAGTCCTTTAGCGTCGGACATAGACCGTCCGACGTGAATAGATTCTTGTACTCTTTTGTATCCTCCTGCATAACGAAATTATAAAATGTAAGAAAATATACACAGTAAGAAATAAGTAAATCTTAATTATGGCATTGTGAATGGATGATATATTAGCCATAGCAACTCACGTTTTGGTCGATTTTCTCCTGTTTGAGGTCTTGTTGCGAGTCCCGCATGGCGGCCATCTTGGTGTGGTCGTGGCCTGCGTAGAGGTCCCCAGCTGCGCCGGCGCCCAGCGCCATCTCCTCGCGGAAACTGTTCTGCGACGACTTGAACCGCTTCACAGGGTGCTCCAACCTACACGGAGACACAAATTTACTAATCTACTAGCTAATCCCGCGATGTGTCCCCCGGTCTTATCAACAAAGCTCTGCGCGTTCAATACAATAACGCATTCAGGGCCATGTGGGCTTGCTGATATACCGGTAATGTAGTGCCTCTGGTTCTATTCGCTAAAGCGAGATAGGATGGTATTCGGTGTGACTCTACTGACATAATAATTTATGAAATTATCAAAATCAAATGATAAACATGAATGTTACCAAGTATTGAACACAATAAACGAAGCTCACAATATGTATTGATGCGCAAACTGGTGTACAATGTAGCGAGGAGAAAGATTCACGTCACGTCAGCTTCATCGTGGCGTGTCCGTGTGTTGCTCGCATATAAAATACTAACAATACAACCTACACCTTGTGTGTATCTTGTAATTTATACTAATATAATAAAGAAGTAAAATTGGTAATCTTTTGAATCGTAATTCGGTCGGATTTCCAAAATTCTTTCACTGAAGAGAAAAATAAAGGATTATGAGCACATTACTAAGCAGTAGTGAGACATAATGTCTTGGTAAGTTTATTAGCTTAGTAGTAGAAGAGATTGATTGAGTTTGAACTTCACTAATAAAGAATGATCTTTTGGTCAATAGGTATATTGCTTAGTGAAGATACATAGACTTTCCGATATTTTTATGGGTCTATGTCAAAATCTTAAAGTTACAAAATATTTATTCCAACTAAATCAAAAACAGGTACTTTTGAAACGATAAAATAGAATAACAATTGTCCGTCAGTTAGCTGTACTCGTTCCAATGTGTACATTCGACTGGGAACAGTGAGGAAAAAACTTATATTTGCAAGCTCACAAATGTATCATTTAAGTCATTAAATCCCAAGCGAACGCCGTTCGCACATCTAGTATTCTTCTTTTGTGATTCAGATTGCCATGATTGAAAGGTTAAAATACACATTATTGAACCAGAGAGTTTATCTCGAGTAAGCAATTTAATAGAAAGGTGATAGGAAGGTGTTGTATATGTAGAGCAGTGAGTATAGTTACCAAGCGTGCACGGTGGTGTAGTCGTAGAGCATGTGCAGCGCGTGTTCGTCCTCGAGCGGGTCCGCGCGCGGCGCCGGCGCAGCCAGCACCGGTCGCCGCCACGCCCACGCCTCGCCCGGGGACCCCGCCTGCGGGACACCACACAACTATACATACCACTACACACTATACACTAGTTTCTACTTCAGGCACCCAATATACTTTGTATAGCTTTAAGCAAAACTGTATATTCTCGATTATGAGTTTATAATAAATTTTATTTGTTTATTTTATTTTAATACTTTTATTTATAAATTGTGTACAAGATCGAAACTTATGACGTTATTATTTTTACACGTCACTTACATATTGTTTTAAAGTTAAATAGTTTAAATCTTAAGTTTAATAATTCATTGTATCGAAAAGGAAACTAATTACTCACAAAACAAATGCGTAAAATTTTACAGAGAACGAAAATAATGAAAAACGGTTTCAATTTATTAACTATAGTTAGAAGTGTTTATAAAATTTGACAATTTTGCCATCATCTCATCATGTTTTTCGATAAGTCACGAATGGGTCGGCTCGACCGGAGTGATACCACGGCCTCACAGAAAACCGGCGTGAAATAACCACTGCGTTGTGTTTCGCCGTGTGAGTGAAGTTACCGGAGGCCCAATCCTTCCCCTTCCCCAATCCCTAAATCTCCAAATCCCTAATCCCTAAAAGGTCGGCAACGCACTCGTAACTCCTCCGCTGCGGGTGTCCATGGGCGGCGCTGATTGCTTACCATCAGGTAATCCGTCTGCTCGTTTGCCGACCTATTACATAAAAAAAACGTCTTTATACTTATTGACTTGAAACTCGATTCCAAATCTTCAGTGAGTCTTCTATCACACATCTTTATTTATATAAGACCAATCTACAGCTATGTAGAACACATCTTTTTAAATATGTATAGGACAACTTACCTGCGTATAAGTTTTGGGCGGCGGTAACGATGGTGGCGCGGGCGTCGGTGGAGCGTGCGGGTCCGGCGTCGGCGCAGGCGTATGGAGTGTCGTTGGTACTATGCCCGTTGACTAAATAAACACATACATCAAAATATTGCATTCAAAGTAAACTTTTCTTACAGCTATATGATTGAAAAATATTGATTTTAACGTGATAATAGAGTTGAAAATTGTATCGAGCAAACGACTGCAAACTATGCCCCTTAGATATACCTCTTATACAACTGTTATCTTTTTAAGCTTGTTAACAAAAAAGTTGTATAGGTATCCTCCTGCCATATGATCGGTAAGTTAAATATTATTTTTATCAGCTTCCAGTTATTTAAAAAGTTGTAGTTACATACCTGGTGATTAGGCAAGGGCTGGTGATGGGGCGAAGGTGGTGGTGCCCCAGCTGAAGGTGGGGCAGAGCCGCCCGGCGCAGGGGAGCCTCCGCCACAGCTGGCCGGGGAACACGCGGCGCCCGGACCCCTGACATAATAACGATAATACATTAACACCCGTCTATTGGCATAGCATGAGGCCCCCAAGTGAAAGTGAATGATGAACCATGTACCAACACATCACATAATACAAAACTTACTCATGATTTAATATACAAACACTGGTGTGACTCTGTGACAAACAAAAAGACACAATGTGACCAATACGCCCCAAAGAAAATAATTCAAGGAGTTTGTGGACTCTCAAATGATGGTAGTAAATGTTTTGATCCTTCACTTTCACCGATGAACCTCTGTCAAAATGAATGGAACCCATGAACGATAGACCCATGGACTAGGACAGACGACATGGCGAGTGGACCCCCGAATGAAAGGTAGATGTTATCATGTGTACCGTAACTTGTTGCTGCAACTTCACCACTTGTAACTGTCAAAACTTAGCATTGGTAAACTTCTTCAGTTTTTTAAAGCTTTATGATCATAAAATTTGAACGAAATTAGCATTCTAAATTCAGTGCACTGTGATTTGATACTAGCAGCAAAAAATGTAACATGCAACATCGTTGCTGTAACAAATATAAGTGCGTTGAATTTCACAAACCGAAAGAATTGTAGTTTCCCAACCAACTTCAATTTTTTAGTTCGAGAATTGTAAAATATATTGAAGTTTGTTGAACTTAATGTTTGTTTTGATACAGTCTTCGCAATAACTGAAGAATTATTGACATATTACAAGCGATGATAGTGCTGCAAATTGTATAAAAATGTGAACATTAATGAGGCGCGGTTTCAGTTCAATTCCCTTATATAATATTCATTATTTAGATTGTAATGTCTTGGTGTCATGGCCGGACTTCCAAGATGACTATTGACAACATTATCATTTCGTATCGTATAAAAAGTATAAGAAAGTTACTGCAAACGCCGTTATTATATTATCAAACAAATAAATGCAACAGTGTTTTGGTGAATAGTTTATGATATTAAAAAGTTAAACTGATTACATGTACGTTAAATGGTCAGTAAAATATTATAATAACGGCTTTAGGGCCAGTTTTACTAAGCAAAATATTGCAATGGGGTATTTTATTGTATTGTATAGTTTAGAAAGATATTAAATTAAAGTTAAGATTGGATTTGGCAGTAAAACTAACCCTTAATTAGTTACTTATTAACGTGAAGCAACGTTAACAGCATTATTCCAGCCGCACCTACAGCATGTACTCGGTAGGTACTTCTTAATTAATAATTGATCAGGCGAACATAATAAGGTTGTCAAATACACAACGATGTTTGATTAGAGACAAATATGATAAGACACAAACATGCAATAGGTATGATAAATATCAGCATTCGATAAATATGTGGCATGCAGTATAGGATAGAATGAGTGTAGCAGTGGGAAGCGCGGTGTGTGTACTCACGGCGCAGCGCTGTGTGTGGCGAGGCGCGGCGGGCGAGGCGCGCGGCGGTGGAAGGGGGGCGGCCGCGCCGCGCGCCGGCGCCGCCATCTGCACACACAAGGCCTGCCACTACCTGCGCCGCCCGACCCCACTCACACATCTCTTACCCACCGGTACCCACACCCTGCCCACTCGCGACGCGCCCGAACATTACTCGCGCGATACTAACTTCTTCTCCGATCCCGTTACGCGACGAAATAAGAATTTAATCCGAAACGATAGAAACGAATTGTGTTTCACTTCAATCACGATTGATGCCCGATAACAAAAATCAATACTTGACGGACTTTAAAAAAGTGATAAATCCACCCGATCGTGATGTTTTAGAAGTCTATAAGAATGTATGTTGTACAGCGAAACAAAATCTAATTTCTAATATTTTTGTCAACATGCCCATTCAACAGCAATAACGAAATCAACTCTACAGTAGTAACGTTCATGAAAACACCGATTCGACTAATCCAAACCGTTGCGTATAAGAGATATCAAAGTGTGACAAGAGTCGCCGCGTGTCTGACAAAGGAATTCAAAATTGGACGTTAATGCAGTGCTTTAAAAGCTTAGTAATTGTTTGAAGAATTATCGAACATTAAGTTTCAAATTCCTTCGTCACAAGTACCAATAGACATAATACTGTTATGTGTATTGGTTAAGCTGTACCCTCTACTGCTTATGTAACTACAAATAATAATATCATTGCTAAGTATATAAAAATAAAACATTCACATACATAACATCTACCTATCGATCTACACCCTGTTAACTTACTAATACTACACATATCGTCATCCACCGGGAAATTGATACTTATTGTTTGTAGAATAAGGTTCAATATACTCAGTGGTAGACTCGCCTGGAACTCTCATTCAAAATGCAGAGATATAGATAAATAGAGTAATAATAGTCTTCCATACATGTCATACGTAAAATATAGATGCATAACACACAATTTCATACAACTACTGCTATATACTGCTCTTATCTACTTCATGTCATTGGCTGAGTATATGCACTGTTGAGATGACACTAATGTATAGTAAATTAGGGGTATTTTCTCAGTGCATGTACTTAGTGAATGCAAAGACAACAATATAAATATATAAATGCGCGATATAGTAGCACTACTATGCATGTACAATGGTTGAGTACTCACTTCGCACAGGTACAAGGAGTTTTTCTGGTGGGATCGATGAAGTCTTCGGTCTTATCGCCCGCAGCCTCACCGTAGCAGATCTCGGGTGGCTGGAATTATAGTTGTGAGTGAGTAATAATAATATGAGTAGAAACTACTTGAGAGAGCCATCCTTTTTTTGTGAGTGGAAAATCATCAAATGGCTTCTCCCGCCCAGGGCCGGGCGGGGAGGGAGTGTCAGACTCTTACTAACTAAAACCTGTTCCTTCTCCTGCTCTGGGCCGAGGTCGCGGTGCCTCATTGCGCTTACCCCGCAACCCCGGCTGAATATCAGCCCTATAGGGCCCCGTCTGTGGTGGTCTATTGGCTCTTTGAGGCGCGCGCGGAACGCTACGCGCCGTACGCTCGGGTCTGGTTCTGGTCGGGCGGCGAGCTACTCTTACTCGCCGTCAGCAGACCCGCGCGCGAAATCGTCCCTTGTGAGAGAGCCATCCTGCGGCGCGAATAATCCGACTCTCTTGAAAGCCTCAGAGAACACCGTAAAACAATTTTTGTTGCGTTGGGTGTCAATGGGCGGCAGTGATTGCTTACCAACAGGTGGCCCGTATAGTCATTTGCCATTTAATTAATGCCATTCATAAATTTAGTGTACTGTGGATGATTTTACTTCAAAAGGGAATATTATAAGGATACATGAAGACAATGTCTGTTAAAATAAAATAACTGTTAGTGTGAGAATAAATGCGTAATGGCATTCTGGTTTCACGAATGTCACCATGATCATAAACTATTTAATTTTGGAAGTGTAACTCGAAACTTATCTTAATGCTTAAAAGACAGTTTTGTTTCCCACTTCCGTACTTAATTTATATTGTACAAGTATTTATGAAAATATATGTGTGACAGACACACAGCTTGAATATAATACTCAACTTTCTATTAGGTTGTTACTTATATACTTTTGATTTGATGTTGTCTGTCTTGTATGTATTTAATCATGTCGGATTGTTTTCGTTGAATTCTGTGAGAGATCAGATCAGAGTGTATAATACGGAAACTACCTATAACATATATTTGTTTAATTGGTGATGCAAACGTGTCATAGGTTCGTTATTATGTAGGTGATAAATGATACTGCAGTGGTAGGGTATAGTGGTAAAAGGTAAGTTATTGTGTAATAGAGTTACCTTGTGCGGCGCGGGCGTGGTGAGCGCGGCGAGTGCGCGTGCGTGCGCGGGGTCGTGTTGCGCGGGCGCAGCGCCGGCCTCCATGTGCGTCACCAGCACGTACGGCCACGGGTAGCGCATGCGCGCGCCGCCACACACCACCTGGGGGCAGGGGAGGGGCACTACTGTTACAACTTGTGCTGGTCACCCAATGGATACGTTTAACTAGTACTTCTAAACAATAGGGGCTGCAGTCTCCGGCTCTCGCAGGGACAGACAAAGTATTACATTTTTTTTTTTTCGATATAAACAAAATTATTTAGGAAAATTTAGTAAAAAGCGTAAATGAGTAAATACTTTTATCTAAACTATATCAGGAATTTAGATAAATACCTCGACAGCGCCACAGCCTTGCTCCAAGGGGTAGAGCTGTCGCCAGGCATCCAACAGTCGCGCCGTACCAGCGTCCGCATCGCTCCACTCACGGCCCGTCAACGTGCCTTCTAGACCAAAAGGAGCCAGGATCACTGTAACAATAACATACGAATATTAATACCATACTTTATTAACATTACAGTCTTATGTAAATGTTTATTATCCTACCAAACCAATAAAGATTATCCAAATAAGAAGTTTGCGTCTTAACTTACTGTATTTCTGTTTGCGACAACCTCAAAAACAATTAAACAGATTTTAATAGTCAACAATGTATGTAACTTGTAAAGGCTTAAGAACCAGTGGACGTTGTAGAAATCAATTCGTGTCATTTAGAGATGCGTTTAAATCTTGGGGATAGACTGAGCTTCATTCTTGAGTACTATCTTAGCTATTATAACCGGCTTAGTGGAGTTATAATAGCTAGGAATATGCGGAGCAAATATTTATTATTATTACCTTTGGCATCAGCCTGGTTGTCGGGCGAGTTGATCTTGGCGAGTCGCTTGGCGGTGAGCGTCCTCACGGGGGGGTGTTGTCGCACGTCCACGGACGCGCACACCGTGCTCTCGCCGTGCAGGAAGAACGCGAACGAGAATGAAAGGTGCCATGGACTGGAATATATAAAGGTTAATGGTTAATATACAGAGCCAAACGATATACATATACATACTTCTAACTACAAATATAGATGGGATTCTGACCATCGTTAACTAATGGAGCAATAAAACCATTTCTATAGAACATTCATCATCATAAGCCTGATTGCGTCCACTACAGGACATAGAACTCCCCAATTGCAAGCTACTGATCTTCAGCTCTTCTTTTATGTTCAGCACTTCACATCCAACCACTGCCAGCCACCCTGCTGATATCGTCAGTCCACCTAGCTGGATGGCGCCCTACACTACGTTTCCCTAGACGTGGTCTCCACTCTAGAACACATCTATTCCATCAGTTCTTCGACAAATGCGACCTGCCCACGGCCACTTCAGTTTGCCAAGGGCCTTTGGGCTAGGTCGACAACTTTAGTTCTCCGTCGGATCACCTCATTTCGAATAAGATCCTTCAGAGAAACTCCAAAGAACCCAGTTTAAAATACAATTAGTCAAGTAATTAAAAGTTTTGAACAATATAGAGGAGGAGTTCATAAGTTGATAGTAATGACAAGTTGGTGCAAGGCAGCGCGTCGCCCGGAGTACCGCAAGGTGCGCTCCGTGCCCACAGATAATATAGTCAGTGGCTTATGTCGCTCGTATCTCACTGCGACGGCAGCTTCAAATCAAATTGCCATCGATCGCTGTACTCGCATGTAGCGGTATATCGGCCGTGGTACTGATATTTGATATGTATGTATTTACTGCGATGTTCTTAACATAATATTAGTATTTTTTTGTTTTAGCAGTTTGTGTATGTTATCATGCATTTTGGACGCTTCCAAACCGCTTCTTTGTTTATAAAATCCATCATAAATATTAAAGACTGTGTAGCGGCACTATCACGTCGCTACATTACTTAGATACGATAGAGATAAGACATACATGTTAATTGTTGCACGTTTGTTAGGATAGCTAAATCTGAAAATCTCGCGCATCTTCTTAGTATATAAGCACCAGCAATTAAAGTAATAAACAGACCTTAACCATCTACAGTCTCATTATTTACCTTGCCACGAAGTCTGGCAAATTGGTGACCCGACGAAGAACAATCAACATGACTCATTCACCCTGCAAATCAAGCAGCAGCCAACAAGAAGCCTTGGAGATATCAGCCGGAACCGCCATTTTTCCCGTATTCCGGAATTTTGGAGGGACCAACCCAGATTATGGTTTAAGCAACTAGAAGCCATAGTAGCACCACAGAAGCAAGGAGACGATTACAAGTACTATACGGTCATTGCAAAACTGCCAAAAGAAGAAATAATACAGGTTAGTGACCTCATTACTTGCCCACCGCCAATAGAAAAGTACAAGGCTATCAAAGAACGCCTAATCAGTTGCTATGAGGAATCAGACCAACGTCAGCTCCAAAAATTATTGTCTGAAATGGATCTCGGCGACCAGAAACCATCACATCTTCTGCGCAAGATGCGGACCCTGAGTAACGGAAATATCAGCGACGAAACCATCAAACTTCTATGGTTGAGGCTTCTGCCACCATCAGTGACTTCGGTTCTAGCAGTCACAGAAGACATAGATGTGAACAAGATGAGCCAGATCGCGGACAAGATATTAATAAATTCAACACGTACAGAGGTGTCAGCTGTAAACGGAAACAAATCTGGCGACGATACAATGACATTACATTACGCATAGGATGTAATTTATCAGCAAGGTTAAGTTATTATATAATTAGGTACATACTAATTTTTTTCAATTTATATGTTAATTATTTTTAAAAGGGGGGAGTATATGTAGCGGCACTATCACGTCGCTACATTACTTAGATACGATAGAGATAAGACATACATGTTAATTGTTGCACGTTTGTTAGGATAGCTAAATCTGAAAATCTCACGCATCTTCTTAGTATATAAGCACCAGCAATTAAAGTAATAAACAGACCTTAACCATCTACAGTCTCATTATTTACCTTGCCACGAAGTCTGGCAAAGACTGTATAATGGATACAGCCTCTAACAAGTATGTATAATATGAAAAAAAGATTATAATTATCGTAGTAAATAGAGAGAAAAAAATGTCGGAAGGGGAACGAAGTCACACCCTAGTGTCTTTACGGGAACGACACAGAGATCTTCGCATTTGCTATAGGAAGTGACGCTCGTGTGACCACGGCGTATTTGGTACCAATCCACTGAGAGAATTGGACCAAATTGAACTTCCGTACTTAAAACTATACATCTTAGTTTACATACAAGAATCAAGCGATGTGTCATTTATACAATTCTATATTCGCAATTCAATGACTGTGTACTATATCATATGAAAACTTTGCTTGCGTGATTCAGGACCATGACGTCAATCACGTCAAAGGTTTAGCGATGCCGGTTTAAATCGTGGCTGAATAATTGAATATTTATACTTTTCCTGTTTGTCACATAATCATCTATGGAAAACTTATGTCTTTAGGACTTAAAGTGGCGAGTTTGTTACTTAATAATCTAACAAAGAGTCTCATATATCATTTAACTAAACTTAATGGTAGTTAAAAACCAAAGCAAACGTTATTAGATTTGGGTCTGGTCTGTTTGGTAAAACATAGCTGGCCACAAGACACAGGAAAAGACAGTCATACTGTTTTCAAAGAAAGAACGCTAGGTACGTTCTTTGATTAGACCAATCATCGCTTTGAATCGGAACATCGCACAGTTCCCACTGAAGCAGACCCGATAACTTTTCCCAATACCGTTACTTTACCAAAAGAAACCAATCATTGTACAACGTACAATTAAAATCTTACAGATACAATCGACGTCGAGTAATTAGCTAACATGTAACGCGCACACGCAAAAGACAAGCGTGTCATATCCTAACTTCGACTTTCACTATCACAACGGTTTCTTTATTGAGATTAATACTTATACTATTGACAATAAGGTTTGTTGTGCAACGTACCTCTTGCCGACTTCTTCTTCGTCGCCGTCGTAAGGTTGGACGAACCATTTTCCGAGCCTCACGAAGTCCCGCGACAGTAGGCATCTGAAAATGAAAATGTTTTTAATTAATTTATGTCAATTACATCACTTATTACGTTATTATAGAGAATTGTGAGTGTTAAAAAATGTTTTGAGTCTTGTCTGAGAACTGCAATTAAGTGTATAATACTATATAATGTTGATTCGTAGTTAAGTTTGTACCTGTACATCCCTCTCCATAGTTTTTTGGGCAGATAAAAGTAATAGCGGTCTTGTAAAAGAAACACATAACAATAAACGTAGACATATAGATTGTGATTCGATACGGAGCCAGTCAAAGAAGCCATGTAATGGCAACATTTGGAGTTTCGTTAACGACGAGTAATATAGAGAAGGGCCTATAAGCTATATTGTTTCACAGCTCAGTAAGTTAGAACGCGAGATCTTGTAACATTTAACAGTTTACGAGTGTATCACGTTTCTTTTATTGGCATACCGTTCAACTATAAAGTATATAAGGAGAGGCGCCGTTACACTGTGGTATTGTTATGCGGTTAAATGACTTGTAAAATATTATATTTGTTGTAACTTGTAAGTTACCATTCAAAAAGAACTAAAACATATTTTATTTATATTGAAAGTGTCCCACACAGACTTGTGATGTTATCAATTTTTGGAGTGAAATAGCATACTTACTTATTTTATTAATTATATTATAATTTACATAATTTATTTTTGGCTGAGTACAACACCCAATTGTTCGTTCAATTTAGGGCTAGAGTGCGCAAAAAATTTACTTGCTATTATAATTACCTACAACACAAAAAATTGGCTGACAAGTCAGTTACTAACACTTAGCTTGTAATTGATATTAAACCAAACGTATAAGGAAAACAAATTGTTTTTACCTACAACATATTATAATTATTGCAAAATGTACAGTAAGCAATTCATTAACGCCAGCTTACTAAATAATTATACAACAACAACAAATATTTTGTTCAAGTAAATTAATAAATAATGTTTAACAATTACTAATTAATTATTGAAGACGTTCGCGTTGCATTTTTTTAAAGACAAGATAGATAAATTATTGTTAATGCAAATATGCATTTGTTTATTTTACTTTTACGCGCCACAGATAATGTTAATGATTTGATTTTTGTTTCTGCAGATCAATTCCGTTTCCCAGATTGACCAATATTATAAAGTTAGGTTTTAATGAATAAGACTACTTGACCATCTTTGGGAATCTACCTACATTATTCACTTTGAATACATTGTTGATAGTAAACACAGGCTTTAAAACAAGCAGATGAAGCCGCGGGTCAAAGTTATTATGGCATAACTTATGAAAAACTCAATGTTACCATTTCATACATTATTATTTTATAATCTCATTCTTTCTATTTCTTTGAGAAACAAAAGAAATAAAGACACAATGTTCTATTATATTAATTCTGCCACATAGGCTACCAAATTAACTATAAAGTTTCGCAACACAATGGAATCCAGTTTAATATATGTATATCCTTAGAAAAGCATTGTGAGTACATGGATGGTGTACTAAGGTCCAAAGTAGACGCGAATATAACAAGAAGGTAGAGGCGGGCGTGTCGTAACTCCGTTCGAGTATCGATTATATTACCATGGCGAATATTATTGTGTCACCACAGACTATTAAAGCAACGTAAACTCATAGTAAAGTGACGACTAAGCTTAGTTGGACTAGCTATTAATTGTGAATCATTAGGTTTCATATAGCGATGACGCAGAATTAAGTGTTCGTATATACAGTATTGTTAAAGACAATAATAATTGGCTTGTTTTAATTGTTTATCTTAGTATGGAGCCTTACAAAAATATTAGAAGATTTTATTTAAATACCTACTAACAGCTTCGACGTGACGCTTTTAAATAAACTTACAAAAACACTGCAAAAATAGAAATTTAGAAGACAAAATATTTAACTAAAGAACCGTATTTTTATGTGTCCTTGTTAATAAAATAGCTAATTAAGGCAAATTGTTTTCAATAAGGGACAAGCTAATATAAACTTTATGCACTCGAGTTTATGTACACTTCAGTTGTTATTGCAAATCAATGGTGTAACTTGGAGCTGGTCAAGAACATGTTAGTTAATGTACAGATCAATTTCACGTTCAGTACGTGTGAAGAGAAGAATATTAATTTCCTTGAACAGCTTCTTCTTAGCTTTTTTGTGTTTAAAGTGTATATGCAGTCTTAATGAAAACAAATATGTATAATGAGACAAAATCAGATTTAATTTTTTTACGGTGGATGGTAAAGAAGGAGCCAATCTAGGTGAGAGATTTTCGAAAAGTTAGTACACAGAAAAATAAAATCCTCTGAGTCTTGTAAGAAATTGGTTAATTCATTGAAGCCTTACGTTAACACTAGAACTAACCAACCGAAACAAAGTAATAAATTATAAAAGTTAAAAAATCAAACCGAAGTTAATTATTATTTAAGTTAAAAAAAAAAACAAACAATATTTTTGGAAGTGCGTCGAGTAACGAGTACAGTATAAAAATGTACTCGTATTAGAGATAATGTATTAGTTGGTCGATAGTTTATTTCGAGCGATGCTCCTGTCTATCGTCTATCTCTGAACGTACGCACTCCACTGTATCGCCTACAGTTGTAAACATCACTTTCTTATGAGTCACGGTGCAAGTTTTTCATTATTTTTCTAGTGCATGCTTTATAAAATTATCTGTATACACATGCCGCGGATATCACTCCACGGGAGAGCCATGCTTCGGACCCCATAAGCTGACTAATTATTACTTTGATGTGTGAGGCAACTGACTAAACTATTTAACAATTATTAATAGGAAATTAATCCAAAAAACGGCAAAACCTTTACAATAATACCTCGCCATTGAAGGAAAATAAACAAATTAAATTATTTTATGACTGTCCTAATTTTGTTTCAGGTACTTACATAAATATGTTACAGCTGTAGGTTTGTAAAAATAGGTAATCTGCATATGTTTTTCTAACAGAACGGTACTTGGTGCAAATAAATATAATTGTGTTTAAACAAGAACAGTTGTAAACAATTTGGAAGTTAATATTTGATCGATTAAATCTTATATAAAAAAATGGATAGCAAAATGTGTTGGTAAGCGCATAACTAACAACGCCTGGACCAATTTTAATAATTATTTTTTTGTTGTGTTTGGTATTGTCAGGAGATGGTTCTTAGCAAAGAAAATATTAGAAAACTAGAGGGGAAGATTAGGAAAAAGTGACCCTTTGATAGCGAGATAGTTGGACCCGTGCGAAGTTGTACATAATTTTATTGAGACAGAACATATGACGTCACGATATTTTTTCGTGTAAAACAACATATTAATTTCCACCGACAACGAATTATATTTATGCATTAAAATGTTTTTTCATTTTGTCTGAATTTGTCGAAACGAATTCAATTACATATTGACTGGTCACATTGTCACATTGTTTATCATTGCGTGATTCATATACTTAATAATATAAAGTGCTGATGTATGCGTAAGCGTTAATACTCGCGATATTAGCGCTGAACTATTTGATTTTTATTTAATAGAATTTATTTTTCCAAGATTGTTATAAACTTATCGCTTGAAATTCGAGGAAAAGGTATCGCTAAAATCCTTTTTATAATTTCATGTATTTTATCCGTAGGATTAGTATTAGTATATTTTGTATTAGTGTATCCTAGACAAATAAGCTCGTTGTTTTTCGTATTTTTTAAAAATTTTACAGTGACCACCAATCAGTTCTTTATCATACCATGCATTAGCTTGTAGAGTAAATCAAAGAGGTCGACCGCTCACTCATGCGCAGTGGATCCGATCTACCGACACATAGCAGCAATGTAAACCGTCGTAACGGGAGAGATTTAGGTGCGCGCGCGCAGGTGTCCGCGCAACAAGCACAGGAATGCGTTTGCTACGCTTTGAATATGTATCAAACAGGTGCAAAATAATGTTTCACTGCACTTTGTACTAGCTCTTGATCAAGAGACAATTAACGGCTTAAATAATAAACTCATTTAATGTTGTGTCGTTTTTGAAACACTTTAATAGGTAAGAGTTTGGTATAACACTGTATAGTTTATTATTATTATTAGAATTAAACTTCAAGAGTTTTCAACGGGATAGCACGATCACGTAGAATTAAGCAATTCAATGTTGAGCATTTAGCATATTTGAGGGTCTTTGAACCAGTTTTCCCGAAACGCCGCCCGCAGTATTCGCAAAAAACGTTGTAAATTTTATTTGTGACTGTTCCAACGGCACGTCAACCTCAATTAAGTATTCAGGATCAACTCTGAAACTGTTGCTTTAATGAGAATATTAGGGCAAACAACAAGCCCAAAGTAATTACTATTTTGAAGAGTTTCTTGCCCTGACAAGAGTATTGGTTTTTAAAAAAGACCACAGACTTTTTTACATAGACTAAAGTCCTTTTTGTTATAACCTATTATTTAAAGAGTAAGTACCTACGCCCAGGTAGACACTCCCTCAAAACTGCACAACAAAAAAGCCGTTTAAAGAAACTCACAACCGCGTGAAACAACAATATTCACACTGCATATTACGCAGATCTCATTTTTCGCACTTTAAAATGATTGTAAAAGTTAATTTGAAGCACGACAAGGTGCGTGGTAACAATGGCGAGTGTGGCAACTTGGCAAGGGCTGTAAAAAGGGCATAAAAACGTTAACTCAATCGCGTCTTGTCTTGACGAGCCTACAGCAAAATCCTGACGCATTTTATTACTTCACTACTTCGGTCGTACTAAGTAACTGCGAGCCGTAAAGCTGAAATTAATAGTCGGCTGTGATATTTTGTGTGCGTATTGTGTTTGAATTGTTTTGTGTGTATTTCTTAATAAGACCTTTTTAATAACGTAGCAGTTGTTGCCAAACGTTGCGGTAAGACAGAAAAAAATATGATTATAAAAAAAACACGTGACCGCTATTTACTACCTACCAATATGAAACGAGGCTCTCACGAAGTCACAATACCCGACCAGCCACAAGGTTTGTGTTCAAAAAGATTAATAAAGCCGCGTTTAAAGTCTAATCGTAACAAAATCGAGAAAGGACTAATAAAAGATTGAATACACAGCAGCTACCTTAAACTCGTGAAGCAAAACGCGTGTGTTGTATTGTCGCAGTCGGGATCGCATCCCCGGTTCACCGCGACGCATTGTTTCTTTGACGCGCCGCCAGCCGCCACCGGGGGGTCAACGACTCGTCTGGATTTCGTTCATACGCCGAGATTCCGTCGCTCACAGCTCCCGACAGTCGCGTGATGCCGATGCATGCGGCACTTACATCATGAGTACTGATCTATAGCCAGTGTTCGGTTACACAATTGTTGGTGCCAATAATTATGAACTGAACGAAATCCGTACTGAAGTTGTGAGTCGTTCGTATTTCCATTTAAAATGTACTACGAAGGTCGACAGTTAATTTGATGCTGTAAACCTGTCTAATAATTAAGCTCACTAGTCACTAACATTTAAATCCAACAAAATAACAATATTTTGTCTGAAAGTCGTGCCTGTCAACGTCTCAAGGCCGAGTCTCACCACAAAAATAAAGCAAAATTTTAAGATAAAATCCAACAATAATGGAAGCCATAATTCATAGCTTAACTTACCAAATATAATAAATATCTAATTAAAATAAAACTTGATAGTTTCATGGTTTACGTAATGATGAACGGAACAGGTCTATTATGAAAACGTCAAATGAATACAAGTTAATTATTGATAACATAGTGTTGCCTTGACAATTTCATTAAGATTTTTAACTAAATAATTTATTACCGAAATTAAATAATTTCATTTAAATTTTAAGAAAATAAGCATATTACAACTGAAATTAAGTTCGAAGCAGAAATGTAGAACTGATGATACTATAAGAATATTTCGAAAATTAATTACATTTAAAGACCGAAATATTACTAAGCGCCCGTTCTAAGGCTACGATAGTCTACATAATGATAAGGTCTGGAATTTCAGTAATCTGCGCCGGAGTATACGGGCCACGTCCATCTAAAGAATACGCGACAAAAAACGACATTAGAACGCCCGCGGTCGCACGATACGACGACCTTCGTTTCGTAGTGCTACGGCTACGACCGTAGCCCGATGCGCTTGCGCACCTGGTGAAACGCTATCCGCGCAAATTGTTACTCTGTAAACGGCTGCTAATTACCCGTATTATTTAATTTTATTTTAAACGTTTAGTATATTATTAACTTGTGTGTGTATAATTGTTTAATAATTGAATTATGACAATTGATATTTATTTAATGAACGAGTACAAGTAACTGGGTGTGCACATGCACGGGAAACCGACTTACTGTTTATTAGGTAAGCCAGTAAGTACATACCCCATTAGCAAGATAGGTCCATATAAAGGAGACAATTAAAATAACACTCCTTTTTTGGCCAGTTGTGTAAATAATCTTTAATTACTTTAAATTTTTTATTACAGGTTAAATTTAATGGCTATGAATGCTATTTCAAAAACAGTATTATAGGATAAATGCTTCCCAAAAACTATAAATCACTGCGAAGTGTAGGAATAGATTTGGCGTTGTCCACATATGCTATTAATCAAATTTAGTCATGTTTGTACTGCGCTAATTAGCCAGTGTTTCTGGTTAAGTAGCTAGCTAATGAGGCGGAGCAGTCATTAGACAATAGCATTCTAATAATTATCATTCATAGATAATATACTAGTATTTGTTTAAAAGCTGTTAATTTGTGTACAATAAACGACATACGCTTGCATACGTTTGTATGAAACTAGCAATCAGATTTAAAATCATACTGTTTAAAGTGTATTTCAATCCTCACGTCATAATGTTTTTATTGTTTGTATTGAGCTGATAGTTCTGCGGTCAGCACAACCGGAAGTCAAGTACTCATGCACTTGGTCAATATACTATACATATTTCTCTTTCATTCAATTCTATATTTGTGGCTAAAAAACTTTCCGTTAATGGAATATTTACAATAACAATATCACCATAAGATTAAACAAAGTGGTGATAAATTGGCTACCTCGAACTTGTGACCCTCGGCATACTTTTTATCGCACTAGATAAGACAGTTGTATACAGAATAAGCATCAGATATTTGCAATGTTTTAGATATCTTCAGCTAATTATCTATATCAGACGTCTAATCGACTACTCAACGTCAGATTAAGTATTCACAATAATAACATTAAACAAGTCAATGAAACTTTCGTACGATTTCCTAACTGAGGAATGCGTAGCCAATTACATAGGGCCGAGTATTGTTCCTTGTGGAACACCTACTGTATGCACGACTGTGAATACAAAATGTCTTTGTGAGCGTACAAGAGGCATACATGGAGCGGTCAATAGGAATGATTTCATAATAAATCACGAGCAATTAGCTCGCGAGACGCGTTGGAACTAAGTGTACGCGCGACACTGGCAGTGTGACATGCACCATTGACTTCGCATTGTATACTCGATCGGCAATGATTAACAAGTTATTTGTTAGTACCGACTACCGTACAGTTTTTCAATCACGTTTTTGTTGGAAATGCTAATCGTGTAACGTTTGAGCCAGCCAATTGAACGACCGCAAAATGTATACGGGCGAAGTAGATTGGTGGACGATTCACACCTACAACGTGAAGACCAATCAAGTCTAAGTTGATCATTATCGATACTCGTTGTTTTGATTACTTGATAAGTTATTGTTATTTTATGATTTTACCTTTCAATAAGGTTATGAAGAGCCTTGAACAGCAGCGAGCGGCATTCATACGAGAGTCCACTCTCCCACGATCCCTGGTCACCTTCTGAAAGTAAAAAAAACAAATGTAAGCTTTGGAAATGCATAATTTGTATTGATATAGAATTATGAATCAAGATTAACTCCATCGAAGCATCACACGAACCACGACCTCGCTATCTCAAATGCTATTGTCCCAGTTACCTACATTTTTTTCATTGGAGATATGTTTTAATTTAATCCCTATTTTATTTAACTAATACATTCAAGGTCGGATTGACAATGAATATATCCACAAGAGAAGAATGTAAACCTGACAAGCGATAAAATCGGATGGTTGCAATGTGGTAAGTAAGGCTAGAAATAGCTGTTGTTGCATTCGCAATCGGAAGATAAACTCGGCCTATCACCGACGTTAGATGCGAAAACAAAACGGCGCGCGCGACGTTGCCGTTCCGTAGCCGTAATGCTGTCCCTGTCTAGCTAGGAGGCGGGGCGGGGGCGACCCATGTGACGTCATGCGGCCGCTCAGCGCACGTGCTTGTGTTTGTAGCGCACGCCGCACACGACACACATGCGAGCATTGCTTAGCTCCCGCAACTATTTAATTGACATTGAAGATAATTCAAAACATTACCAAAAATAAAACACAAAAGTTCAACTCAAATTCAATTGAAAATGTTGGTAATTTTTACATTTTAATCCCAAAAAATAAGTTAGTGTAATGATATAAAACCGTTAAAGTTGATGAGTTATTGCTACGGGTTATCGTTCACGCGCCCGGCAATAACTTCGCGCTGCGATAACTTGATAGTAAGTATACGAATGACTGGGAAATTTTACTAACGTTTTTCAGCATTAGAAGTCGTCTTACTGGAGCGTTTCCAAGCGTTCAGCCTTGACATTCGCGCTCCAGATGTATGCGTTCCATCGCGTCTGTCTCATTTGGACTAGTTTTTCCAGAATTAGGATGTTAATGGTTCTATTCATTTTATTATTTCTTGGTAGCACCTGCTTAATTGATTACTAATCTTACCTATATTTCTTATAATGCATTGGTAGAAAAGAAAAAGTAAATTTAAAAACGCTACAAAACATTAACTTAGTAAACATACACTTAGCGATTAAGAAGGATCGCCTTCGATTCATTGGACACCATACGAATCATCGGTGGGATTAATGACCATCTTAGGGTAACTGCTAACACCAGCTGTCATTCATAAACATTTTTGGTCAATCAATAAGGATTCCCTCGTTTCAAAACGCCCAAGGTTTTACTACATACTTAAATAAATTTCGATAATATCTGTGTATTCGAAGTGTACATTAGATTCAGTGATAAGCGAGGTAATTAAGCAAGTACCGCTATTGTCTGCTGGTGCTACTGGTGCAGGCACTGCAATTATTGAGCCGGTCGGTTCGGCACCATCGACTCCATCTCCCAAGGCCGTTAACGCAACAAACGGTACGATTACTGTATACTGTATACCAGTACTAATGTACTTCAGCAACGAAGCAAGTCACGACTTGAATCGTATCATGGTACCATCACGTTGCAGATCCATTAAGGATTTTGACATCGATCTACTGCTACAGGAACGAAAATAATCAATAAAAGTAATCATTAAACATGAGTAGTATTGACCTAAATGGCTGTATTTTTTTATTTTTGAAAGGCTGTTCGATGGTAACTAAACATCAAAACACATTGAAAACTTTGTTACATAACCTTATGCCGCGGTTTGTTGAACTTTTGCGCTGTTAATTGATGCGATTATACGATATGTTTAGGTTGTGTTGCGAGTGCAAAAGTTGTGTTTATTTGCAGTGTTTGTGTGAGAGTGCATTTGTTTCGAGTGCAATAACGAAGATTGTTTAAGGTTCAAGGTCGCATATTTTGTCGCGGTGTAACGGCGGTGGTTGGCACTACCTTGCGCCGGGATCGATAGCGGGCAGACGACGCGCGCCGCCGCGCTTCCCGCCTCCACACCAATGTGAACGCAGTAATCGCCATACGATTATCACTATTGTTGCCTAAGTACTATTTGTTTGTTGCCGCGTTGCGGTTAATGTCGGCGATAACGCGCTGATAACAGACGTGGAGAATAACATTGAATGCGAACTGATAACGAAGCTCACTGGTTTGTCATAGGAGACGCTTACGAAACGTTTGTCAGAGATGCTATAATGCAGTGGGTAGATATAGGGTAAATTGAGCGTGGCGCAGGCAATAAATATGGTATTTAACGATCGGCTGGTAGCTAGTAGACAGTAGAGCGGGAAGATTTATCTGCGCCGGTGACAGCGCAACAACATTATCGGGCGGCACGTGGGCCGCGGGCCGGAGTGCGGAGTGCGTCGAGTGCGCTCTGCGGCTGCACTCGCAACTCGCAGCGTCTCTCTCGCACCGCAATGTTTGGAACAATCTCCGTGTCGCGTCGCCGTGTTCTACAAAGAGCACACTTTCGCAACATCACCGACTGCTTTAATTTTGCGCCACTGCGTAAACTCAACCAATTATCTGATCCTTTCAAAGCTTTTAAATGAGCTTTCAAGTTAAAATACCTGTTGTTGAAATATACAAAATATGCATTTAGTTTTTAGTAGTTGTCCATCGAACACCATGAGAGGTTGAAAGTTCTTAGAACTTGGAAAGAACTTCATTCCCACGTAGCATGCACAAACAGCTATCCGTTTTAAAAGTAGGTAAAATTGCATTGCTAATTGATTATATTTCTTCTTAGGTAATTATATATTATTTTTAACCTTGAAGATGGTAAAAGGGTAGCCTGTTTCCAATGTTATTTTAATCTTGTATATTTTATTACTTATCTACTTCAATGACTAAAGTATACATTTTTTGTACAAAATTCAATACGCAGATATTTGTCAATCGAGGATAATTAGAAGCTGTTTAAAAATCTGCAGCGAGAGGCGACGAAAAATAGTAAACAATCTGTGACAGCTACAATGCATTGGCGGGCGGACGGTGCGACATGGCAACGTCGCGTTCAAATCCGCGCGCTTTGTTTACAACCACCGGCGGGCGAGGTTAACCGCTGCGGTAACATTCGCCTCGATACGCCCGCGAGCATGGGAGCCGCTCCGCCACTCCACGCACCCGCTGTCGGCCTGACATCTACGAGTGTGCGGGCTAACATCGCCGCAAAACCGGTTGTTACACCATCTAATCGAAGGATATCTAGGTAGCTAAGTTTCACAAAAGAAACAATCGAGAAAGGTTACAAAAGTCTTGTTAAAAGGGCGGGCTGTAGGATTGAATAGGCGGATACGGGCATTTAACCCGGTTCGGCGCCGCCTGATAATGTAATTCAAGATCGTATCGAGCGCGTGGAAATCTGTCAATTCGCGCGCGCCCTCTGCGGCAGCGGGTCGGGCTCGGTCCCACCCGTGCGGTGCTTATGTTGTTGTCTCGGTCGCGCACACCCACGTGCGCGCGTGACGTCACTAGCGCGTCGCCCCGTCGACGTCACAGACCGCCCGCAACCCGCGACAAGGGAGCCCTACCAGCCCTACCCTCGAATGAACAGATTCGCATTGCTCAACTATCGGAACAAACTAACATTGATGCGGACACTAGTTTGTTGACTTTAAAGTTTGCTATACGTACTCACTGAAAGGTAATAATTTCCATCTGAGATAAGATAAAATACTTGTAGAATGAAAATAAAATAGTAACCAAGAAGTAATAAGCGATAAGATAGTTTGCAAATTGTTTGCGACTATCAACTAAGGACACCTTTGATATATTAGACAGACTATAATGATTTCTTAGAAATTAGGGATATAAAAAAGACTAAGACACTGAAGATAGTTGAGAGGAGCCGACGTTACATACAAGCGGGGTAGAACTGAGCATCTGCGAGGAATCGGCCTCGAGACACGCAGCTGCACGGCCCACCCTCGCGCTTTGTCTCTACTCGGCACACCACTCGATGGCTAATGGTTATGTCAGGACGGGTAACGATACCGTCTCATATGCGGACAGTAAAGTAGGTAGTTGCTTCACTATCCAGGTTAATGAAACCCCATTTTGCGTTTCGAATGACAACTACTTATTTTGTATACAATCTTGACGCATTCAACAAAACTAATGAAAAGGACACTTCTTTATGTTCTAACAGGATGGTGTCTAGCCCAGCCTGTGAGCCCAGCTTAGGTGACAAGGAACATCCAGTCTTTTGCATTGATAATGATTATCATGAATCAATTTATCATAATAAACTGCTAATTTATTGATCGTTTGAAAATAAAATGGTGTACGATCTCGAATACACCAGTGTCGATGATAGTCGCAATCTATAATGGACAAGACAACGCGCAATACTGTTATGGTGTCAGACATGACTTAAGTGAGACGAATCGATAATAACGGTACGGAGCGAAGGCGGTACACTTAGACACTAGCCGTGTTTGTGTTTGAAATTGGAAAATAATTATACGACCGATAGAGAGAGCCACTGATCGATACGCGGCTAGCGGGCGGTGCGCAAGCGCATCAATAAATAGCCCGATCCGGTGCGCGCCCATCGATACACGTCACGAGCATTTTATTAATAAAACGCCGAACAACGCGCGGACGCACCGAACGTTCAACAACCCCGCGCCGCCGGCTTCTTACGCGCACTCTTTACATAGTTACATCATATACTACCATCTGACCTGCTCCACATTCACAATTATTGTTCTACAGTTTCATATTCTCACTTCTCAACTGTCGCTTTGAGAGCGAATGCAGTGTCTGTCGATGAATATCACATAATATTGCCCCCTAAATCTGCTCATCTGGTGATAGTATCACCGTTATCAACTATGACTATGCTGCCTCTTCAATACAGCAAGGAAGCTGTGATTCCCACGGCCTCGAAACCAGCCCACGCAGATAGCAAAACTTACGTACATTGAGGACATTGTTATGAGTTGGCAACATTTGATTCGATGCTAGCAGTCAATGGTTGAGGTGCATTACGGGTAGCGGTGGTTGTTATGAAATGCTAACGGTAAGGTACAACAGAATGTCGAATTGCTTGTTTAAAGTGGACCGAG